TAGCTTACCTTTCATTATATTATGTGAAGCTCAGTGTAATGACTTTGACACTTGTCTGACTTGCCTTTCATTATATTATGTGAAGCTCAGTGTAATGACTTTGACACTTGTCTGACTTGCCTTTCATTATATTATGTGAAGCTCAGTGTTATGACTTTGACACTTGTCTAGCTTGCCTTTCATTATATTATGTGAAGCTCAGTGTTATGACTTTGACACTTGTCTCGTTTGCCTTTCATTATATTATGTGAAGCTCAGCGTAATGACTTTGACACTTGTCTAGCTTGCCTTTCATTATATTATGTAAAGCTCAGTGTTATGACTTTGACACTTGTCTAGCTTGCCTTTCATTATATTATGTGAAGCTCAGCGTAATGACTTTGACACTTGTCTAGCTTGCCTTTCATTATATTATGTAAAGATCAGTGTTATGACTTTGACACTTGTCTAGCTTGCCTTTCATTATATTATGTGAAGCTCAGTGTTATGACTTTGACACTTGTCTAGCTTACCTTTCATTATATTAAGTGAAGCTCAGTGTAATGACTTTGACACTTGTCTAGCTTACCTTTCATTATATTATGTGAAGCTCGGTGTAATGACTTTGACACTTGTCTAGCTTACCTTTCATTATATTATGTGAAGCTCAGTGTAATGACTTTGACACTTGTCTGACTTGCCTTTCATTATATTATGTGAAGCTCAGTGTAATGACTTTGACACTTGTCTGACTTGCCTTTCATTATATTATGTGAAGCTCAGTGTTATGACTTTGACACTTGTCTAGCTTGCCTTTCATTATATTATGTGAAGCTCAGTGTTATGACTTTGACACTTGTCTCGTTTGCCTTTCATTATATTATGTGAAGCTCAGCGTAATGACTTTGACACTTGTCTAGCTTGCCTTTCATTATATTATGTAAAGCTCAGTGTAATGACTTTGACACTTGTCTAGCTTGCCTTTCATTATATTATGTGAAGCTCAGTGTTATGACTTTGACACTTGTCTCGTTTGCCTTTCATTATATTATGTGAAGTTCAGTGTAATGACTTTGACACCTGTCTAGCATGTCTTTCATTATATTATGTGAAGCTCAGCGTAATGACTTTGACACTTGTCTAGCTTGCCTTTCATTATATTATGTGAAGCTCAGCGTAATGACTTTGACACTTGTCTAGCTTGCCTTTCATTATATTATGTAAAGCTCAGTGTAATGACTTTGACACTTGTCTAGCTTACCTTTCATTATATTATGTGAAGCTCGGTGTAATGACTTTGACACTTGTCTAGCTTACCTTTCATTATATTATGTGAAGCTCAGTGTAATGACTTTGACACTTGTCTGACTTGCCTTTCATTATATTATGTGAAGCTCAGTGTAATGACTTTGACACTTGTCTGACTTGCCTTTCATTATATTATGTGAAGCTCAGTGTTATGACTTTGACACTTGTCTAGCTTGCCTTTCATTATATTATGTGAAGCTCAGTGTTATGACTTTGACACTTGTCTAGCTTGCCTTTCATTATATTATGTGAAGCTCAGCGTAATGACTTTGACACTTGTCTAGCTTGCCTTTCATTATATTATGTAAAGCTCAGTGTAATGACTTTGACACTTGTCTAGCTTACCTTTCATTATATTATGTGAAGCTCGGTGTAATGACTTTGACACTTGTCTAGCTTACCTTTCATTATATTATGTGAAGCTCAGTGTAATGACTTTGACACTTGTCTGACTTGCCTTTCATTATATTATGTGAAGCTCAGTGTAATGACTTTGACACTTGTCTGACTTGCCTTTCATTATATTATGTGAAGCTCAGTGTTATGACTTTGACACTTGTCTAGCTTGCCTTTCATTATATTATGTGAAGCTCAGTGTTATGACTTTGACACTTGTCTAGCTTGCCTTTCATTATATTAAGTGAAGCTCAGCGTAATGACTTTGACACTTGTCTCGTTTGCCTTTCATTATATTAAGTGAAGCTCAGCGTAATGACTTTAACACTTGTCTAGCTTACCTTTCATTATATTATGTGAAGCTCAGCGTAATGACTTTGACACTTGTCTAGCTTGCCTTTCATTATATTATGTGAAGCTCAGTGTTATGACTTTGACACTTGTCTAGCTTACCTTTCATTATATTATGTGAAGCTCAGTGTAATGACTTTGACACTTGTCTGGCTTGCCTTTCATTATATTATGTGAAGCTCAGTGTTATGACTTTGACACTTGTCTCGTTTGCCTTTCATTATATTATGTGAAGCTCAGTGTAATGACTTTGACACTTGTCTGACTTGCCTTTCATTATATTATGTGAAGCTCAGTGTAATGACTTTGACACTTGTCTGACTTGCCTTTCATTATATTATGTGAAGCTCAGTGTAATGACTTTGACACTTGTCTGACTTGCCTTTCATTATATTATGTGAAGCTCAGCGTAATGACTTTGACACTTGTCTGACTTGCCTTTCATTATATTATGTGAAGCTCAGTGTAATGACTTTGACACTTGTCTAGCTTGCCTTTCATTATATTATGTGAAGTTCAGTGTAATGACTTTGACACTTGTCTAGCTTGCCTTTCATTATATTATGTGAAGCTCAGTGTAATGACTTTGACACTTGTCTGACTTGCCTTTCATTATATTATGTGAAGCTCAGTGTAATGACTTTGACACTTGTCTAGCTTACCTTTCATTATATTATGTGAAGATCAGTGTAATGACTTTGACACTTGTCTAGCTTGCCTTTCATTATATTAAGTGAAGCTCAGTGTAATGACTTTGACACTTGTCTAGCTTACCTTTCATTATATTAAGTGAAGCTCAGTGTAATGACTTTGACACTTGTCTAGCTTGCCTTTCATTATATTAAGTGAAGCTCAGTGTAATGACTTTGACACCTGTCTAGCATGTCTTTCATTATATTATGTGAAGCTCAGTGTAATGACTTTGACACTTGTCTAGCTTGCCTTTCATTATATTATGTGAAGTTCAGTGTAATGACTTTGACACTTGTCTAGCTTGCCTTTCATTATATTAAGTGAAGCTCAGTGTAATGACTTTGACACTTGTCTAGCTTACCTTTCATTATATTAAGTGAAGCTCAGTGTAATAACTTTGACACTTGTCTAGCTTGCCTTTCATTATATTATGTGAAGCTCAGTGTAATGACTTTGACACTTGTCTGACTTGCCTTTCATTATATTATGTGAAGCTCAGCGTAATGACTTTGACACTTGTCTGACTTGCCTTTCATTATATTAAGTGAAGCTCAGCGTAATGACTTTGACACTTGTCTGACTTGCCTTTCATTATATTATGTAAAGCTCAGTGTAATGACTTTAACACTTGTCTAGCTTGTCTTTCATTATATTATGTGAAGCTCAGTGTATTAACTTTGACACTTGTCTAGTTTGCCTTTCATTATATTAAGTGAAGCTCATCAGTGTAATGACTTTGACACTTGTCTAGCATGTCTTTCATTATATTATGTGAAGATCAGTGTAATGACTTTGACACTTATCTAGCTTGCCTTTCATTATATTATGTGAAGCTCAGTGTAATGACTTTGACACTTGTCTAGCTTACCTTTCATTATATTATGTAAAGATCAGTGTTATGACTTTGACACTTGTCTAGCTTGCCTTTCATTATATTATGTGAAGCTCAGTGTTATGACTTTGACACTTGTCTAGCTTACCTTTCATTATATTAAGTGAAGCTCAGTGTAATGACTTTGACACTTGTCTAGCTTACCTTTCATTATATTATGTGAAGCTCGGTGTAATGACTTTGACACTTGTCTAGCTTACCTTTCATTATATTATGTGAAGCTCAGTGTAATGACTTTGACACTTGTCTAGCTTACCTTTCATTATATTATGTGAAGCTCAGTGTAATGACTTTGACACTTGTCTAGCTTGCTTTTCATTATATTAAGTGAAGCTCAGTGTTATGACTTTGACACTTGTCTAGCTTGCCTTTCATTATATTATGTGAAGCTCAGTGTAATGACTTTGACACTTGTCTAGCTTGCCTTTCATTATATTATGTGAAGCTCAGTGTTATGACTTTGACACTTGTCTAGCTTACCTTTCATTATATTATGTAAAGCTCGGTGTAATGACTTTAACACTTGTCTAGCTTACCTTTCATTATATTATGTAAAGCTCGGTGTAATGACTTTAACACTTGTCTAGCATGCCTTTCATTATATTATGTGAAGCTCAGTGTAATGACTTTGACACTTGTCTAGCTTGTCTTTCATTATATTATGTGAAGCTCGGTGTAATGACTTTGACACTTGTCTAGCTTACCTTTCATTATATTATGTGAAGATCAGTGTAATGACTTTGACACTTGTCTAGCTTGTCTTTCATTATATTATGTGAAGCTCAGTGTAATGACTTTGACACTTGTCTAGCTTGTCTTTCATTATATTATGTGAAGCTCAGTGTAATGACCTTGACACTTGTCTAGCTTACCTTTCATTATATTATGTGAAGCTCAGTGTAATGACTTTGACACCTGTCTAGCTTGTCTTTCATTATATTATGTAAAGCTCAGTGTAATGACTTTAACACTTGTCTAGCTTGTCTTTCATTATATTATGTGAAGCTCAGTGTAATGACCTTGACACTTGTCTAGCTTACCTTTCATTATATTATGTGAAGCTCAGTGTAATGACTTTGACACCTGTCTAGCTTGTCTTTCATTATATTATGTAAAGCTCAGTGTAATGACTTTAACACTTGTCTAGCTTGTCTTTCATTATATTATGTGAAGCTCAGTGTAATGACCTTGACACTTGTCTAGCTTGCCTTTCATTATATCATGTGAAGCTCAGTGTAATGTCTTTGACACTTGTCTAGCTTACCTTTCATTAAATTCTGTGATGCCCAGTGTAATGACTTTGACACCTGTCTAGCATGCCTTTCTTATATCTATATTATGTAAAGCTCAGTAAAATGACTTTGATTCTTGTCTAGCCTACCTTTCATTAAATTCTGTGAAGCCCAGTGTAGTGGCTGTAACGCTGCCATAAGCAATGTCTCCACCGGAGAATTCCAATATAGAAATGGAGCCTTCAGCGTCGTAATACGGATTGCTGTTAATTGATTGACCAAGGTTGCCTTGATTTACTACTACTGCTTTTCTACAATCTTCTGTAAACACTATTTGCGAGGGGAAGGTACCCACTGGAAAAATATCAATTATAAAGAAATTAATAAACAATTTTTTGATACAAGTCTTATTTACCAATTTACAATGTGAAAACTCAAACGTACACGAAGGAGCAGAGTAAGATATTAGAAATTGTTATATCAATGTCGAACTCTCTGATTGGTTTATGTTCTACACGTGACTAAATAACAAGCATAAATAGTTTGTTTTTCCAGTGAGGAATATAACACCCTATGCAGACAGAGCCTGTGGGAAATATTGGGTGCGGAGCAAATGAGCGGAGGGTGCGGAGCTAACGGTCATTTTTGAATTTAAATTTGGGATATTTCTGAAACTAAGCCGTTTTGGGACTTCAAATATACCAAGATAATGTATTTGACACCAAATATCAATAAAATTGTGAAAATAGTAGCGCAATTCATTCTATAGCGACGCAGTGTGCCTTAAACCTTTCTCAGACCTATATCTTTTGAAATTATCCTTTTAATACTGAGTCCCCAGCATTCATAAAAAATGGTATTCAAGGTACACTATCTATACAAATTATTTTTGCATCTTGGAAGCCAGGCAGTATCTGTGTGATTTTATAAAAATTCGGATATGTTCTTCAGATATGAGCCCCCTCTAAATATTGGGTGCGGAGGTACGTTTATGGAGCTCCTCCTGCCTGGCTTCCAAGATGCAAAAATAATTTGCATGGGTAGTGTATCTTGAACACCATTTTTTATGAATGCTGGGGACGCAGTATTAAAAGGATAGTCTCAAAATATATAGGTCTGGGAAATGTTTAAGGCATACTGCGTCGCTATAAAATGAATTGCACTACTATTTTCACAATTTTATTGATATTTGGTGTCAAATACACATATCTTGGTATATTTGAAGTCCCAAAACGGCTTAATTCAGAAATATCCCAATTCTAAATTCAAAAATGACCGTTAGCTCCGCACCCTCCGCTCATTTGCGCCGCACCCAATATTTCCCACAGGCTCTGTCTGCATAGGGTGTATAATACCACTGAATAATAAAACAAACATTTAGCTCTATTTTCGGTGAGTACTTGTGGCACTTCTCAACTTGATATGCAACTAGCCCTCGGGTTTCGTGGAATAACACCTGTTAAAGATGCACAGGTATTCACCAAAAATATAATTGAATATTTTGAAATGGACACCATTCTGTAAAGACTTACACTCGAGGTGAACACTTTAATACCTCAGTCTTATTTGCCCCGATTTCCAAAAAGGAGTTTTTAGCCATAAATTGACTTTTTTCATGAAGTGCTTTGAGAGAAGTTCCAAACGCTGTTCAATGTTCATTCTATGGAGGTTTTACTGTCAGTTCTGCTTATTTCATGATAAATCAGATTTTGCACTGGCGGATCCAGGGGGATTGCGGATTGTGGGCCCAGAAAAAATGTTAGGACCCCAAAAATCTTTGGGCCCAAAAATTTTGTGGGGTCTCAAAACAAACGGGCCGTGTTGGGCATTATTTGGCCTTTTTAGGCCGTTTTGATTTTTAGCTTCTGGATCCACCAGTGCTTTGGTACTCAAAATGCCAATCATAGCTCATACTGCGAATCCTGAATGATTTGGTCCCCATTGTACTGTATATTAATAACGTTGGTATATTCAATTATTCACATCACAAGCATAAAAAACAATTTAGACTCTTTGGCCTGACATCAACATTTTTGGACTCACCTTTAGAAATGAATTCATGAATAATTTCCTGTTAATCTATTTATACTATTTGAGTCATATATGGGTGTTCCGATATTTTATTTCAAATATTGACTGAATTCATTAAGTCGATTATTATCGCCAAGTGAAACCCTATTCAGTTCCACCTAGTCCCAGCCATCAACATTATTTGACGGCAAAGATTCACAGATGACAGAACATTATTACTTTATATATATTCACACTATTAAAATCATTGGATTCATTTCAGTCATATAAATAACCATTTTTCAAAATTTCGATCAAAGAGATTTTTAAAATGTAATTGAGAAATGATTGGCAAAAAACATATATTTTTAATGAAAGCAATTAAGAGTTCAAGACTGAAAACAGTTTTCTTATTACTTGTACAGGTTTTGCAAATAAAATGAAAAATAGGCTTTTAACATGAAATCAATTGGAGCGCTTCGGATTTCCATTTACACTCCTTCCAAAAGTTTGGCAATCCTACCCCCCCCCATTGGATAACGTGTTAGCTCCTCTTTGTGTTTAGATTCGTATTTGCATACTCCGTAAAGAAAATTTGAAAAAACTATATTTTAGGGCTGGAAATATAAATTGACATCATTTTAAAATCGACATCCCCATTTAAACCAATGGAAACTGGTAGGTTTGTACTCACACGACAGCATATCAATCCATCCGAGTTCTCGCAAAATACGAGTAAAGGCGCTTACTTTATTTAACAAAATACTGATATGTTTCTCCAAAGAGTCTCAATAGTCAAAACTATTTTTCAATAAACCTTTCCAATTATAACACAGGAGGCGAAAGGGAATTTGAAAAATGATTTTGAAGCTCTGTAACTTTAATGTTGGCAGAGAAGAGTTTTCAAAGAGTAAATTAACATGCAGTGTGCAAAAAAGTTAGACGATTCAATTTTCTATATAAAAATAACACATTGTCCAATGGGGACCTAAAATGCCAGAATTTTGGACGGGAGTCTTCGTGTTATGTATATACAGTTAGTATAGTAAATTAAATAGACAAATATTCCATGATTATGACCAACAACGTGTACAGGAACTTGAGAATAAAGTATTTATGAATTACGGAAAGGCAATGAACAAATATACTGTTTAGGATAATATGACAATGTTTGTTTATGTTTTGATATTTGAAATATGTTGTTAAAATATGTAAAGTTCAACCCTTACCACCATTAGCTACCATATATCATTTAATGTTCACTCACGAACAGCGAAGGAAAAACGTGCTAGCCTACGACAACTTACGTTATGAGCTGAAAATATATGTACCTACCATTAATTTCCCTAATTTTCACTAATGTTGCTTGTTCTCTCGAATATGGGGCAAATATGGCAACCTTTCCACCATCTTCTAAGGCGTTCTTTATCTGGTAAGGTACAGCCACCACACCTCCCGAGCAAAGCTCAACATCTTTAGCCTCAGAACCATCCCATTGGGGATGGAATTTATATGAAGCAAGGACCGTAAAATTAGTTATATTTCTTGCATCGATAACATGTAGGATTCCAGTTGCTCCTGAAAGGGCAAAAATATGTTTTGACACATTTAAGTATACAAATTATTGACATTTGCAAAAAAATTAATCAGTAAAATACCTTAACACAAAGGTAACTATGAAATCGGTAATCCGAATCGTGACTTTTAATCAAATATTTATTTTAGCATTTATTTTGGAAATAAAAAGTACCTTAGTAATTTATGTAAATACCAGAGTCGAGTTCAACATACTATAAAATATTTTTTTCTTTAATTTGCATGAAATGATGAAAAGAAATTGAATGTCATTGCAACATCTGCCGCTTTAAAAAATAAACACTGTCGCGTCTTTTGAATATATACATGTTATGTGCCTTGGAACTTGGCCATGGTATTCCCGTTTATGGTTTTTACGCCCATGAGGGGAGCTGCCTGCCTGTCTCTTATCTCAAGACAGTAGAAGGACCACTGCCGACAGGCAGATTGAGAGTATATGTATTCATATCTTTTTAATTTGCCGACAACCCTCGTATTATTACAATAATAATATTTGAATGAATTATTCAGATAAATAGGATTATTGAACTCTTCCACCAACTCCCACCATGGTTTACCTTGTCCGGGACCTTGTCCCAGATTCGATTTGGTCTATACTTGATGGTATATCAAGTCAACTATGAAATGGACCGAAATTTTCTATGACTGTAAATAAATATCACAAAAAGAGAGATTTAAAATTGTCCTAGAGAAAATAATCTGAAAATATCAAGTTTGAGATTGGAAAATTTTACGTTACCTACTGTGTAGACTAGACCATTATCAGTATCAAATGTACTCCTCTCTACCGCGTCCCATAGCATATCGTAACTGTTGCCCCAGGAGTCATCCATGAGAAATGGTAAATATACCGTGGAAATTTGCTCAAGTGTCACAGCGCCATCTACTGGTGCCCAATATAGACTAATGCCTATCACATAATATAAACTTAACCATAACATTTTGAAAATACGTGTAGATATATATATCCAGTTTTGTGATTATATATGCTGATTTATTTCACACCTTGGTCTCAATGTAAGATTGTTAACGGTCTATGAAACTCCTTTTTGTCCCTCAGCCTTCTAACTCTTTTGTCGTACTGTTCAACACCCTACACGTGAGTTAACTACGGAAAGAACACTATCCTCAATGCTTGAATCATTATGGTTTGTTGTATAAATATGTATCGGTAAGTAGGTTTAAAGCTACTTTATGTTGACCAAAAGGCTTTGACGTTTCCACCTGTGGTGAATCTTATATATTTATCGTGTGATTGCATTGCTAAGAAATGTTTTGATTGCACTTTTACACTTCAAACCAATGATTTAACGTGTAAAGTATTACTATAAAAAATGTAGACACACCGAGCGTAAATATGACATATTAACGTACACAATGGTACCATAAATGGGAATGATTTTCAACAAAAATATAAAAGGAACAAATAATAACCACATTTAAACGCCCCCGCGTTAAAAGAGGTGCTTCATTCTAACCTGTATGAGTGTTGACTGGAAGGAATTTAAAACTTTGTAAGGCCCTTACGAATAAATGTATGTTAAGTTTTGTTTTATGTTAGTCTCAGGTCTCTTTTCATCGCTTTTTAATACACTTTCCATTATCGATTCAAAATGAACAGAATTCACGGGTCCTGCAAGACCAGGCCATGGCAAAGTCTACCGAGTAAGTCTCTTCCCTTGTTACTAGTGTTTTTATTGTTTTGCTATACACATGCATAAGATTAATAAATATGAGCAAATGGTCACGTGTGTGTGAAACAAAAAAAACTTTATTTTAGTACATTTTATTACTATATCCCCTGGCCTCGAGTTCTCCTGTAAATACAAATAACTATGAAAAAAACAAAAAGGGGAAAACCAAAAACATTTTAATGAAACACAGCACATGATTTAAGGATTCACTTCACACTTTTCTAATGGCTCTTCAATATTGATTCGTGGCACTCCGAGATGAGGAAGTATTACACGTGACAGCCAAGAGCCAGGTATATGATTACTGAAGCGCCCCGGTGTAAAAGGGTAGGAGGTCTTATAATTTATGGTCCTACTCTCCATTGATTTATATGGTGACGTCTTTCTCTTATTATCTTATACACAATCAGGGCCAGTAAGGGTCTTTAAAAAGGGGACCATAATCAACAGGGGACCATATAATTTCTTTCACACCGGGTGAAGCGGGGGCATTTTCATTGTCCTATATAAGCAGACAAATTATCCCGCAAATTATTAACACGTCAGTTAACAGGTTAATGTCACAGTTATAAATGCAGTTCGATTACAAAAAAGCATTTAGATATCGGCGCAACCCAGTTGTAACTGACCGGGTAACTAACCATGGGGCAGCCATCTACGGCATGATATCAATAATCAAATGGTGAAGTTATTGAAGTATTTCTAGGTTTCTAAAGACTGGGTGTATATGTTCTCTATAATAGTCAGGGTAAAATATAAAAAGAAGTTATTCACCAGGAGAGATTTGATATGGGAAATATATCACAAGGATGATATCAATATTTCCCAAGGGAACGCAGTGACATTTAAACAGTATATCCGAACACAGTGCTCAGAATGGTGTAAAACTGCATGGTTTTGAAGAATTTCTGGCCGGGGGAGGGGTGAGGGGACTCCCGCTTCCCATGGGACTTCATGAAAAGAGCATTGATTATTGGCACTTTTTCACGTTAATCATTTTGGTTCTGATCTAGGATAAACAATAGAGATGCATACCGTTCTAGATTCACTTCGTCAGATTTCATGACATTTGAATAGATAGCGGGAATTAATCGAGAAAAGCAGATCAACTCTTTCTATTTATGATTAAATGTTAAGGATCATTTGAGGAAGTCATGTTGTTTTACAACACATGTGTACAATCTCAGGACAATGGCCCATTGGATTAACATTGACTGGTTGGATTAACAATTCATATAATGTGTACTTTCCACTAAAAAACTAGGCTATACAGCATAAATCATCCAAAATGTAGTAGCGAAACTTATGAAGGCAAGAAACAATGGGCTTTCAACCCTTCTGTTAAAAGCCCCTGGAGAAACAGCTTGCAAATATAAATTTGTTTTTGGATTTCCCGCCATATAACTTTAATTAGTTCTAATATTTGTTGTGGCGGGTCATGGATGAAATGGTCACGTGACCTTTACTATTTTCAACACTTTGACATTATCACCCAATATTTACTTATTTTGCGCATAATAGCTGGATTATAACTGTCTATGGTACTCCATTTGAATAAACACGATACTATGGATATAATATAGCAAGATTCCTTGGGGAGGAATATGAATTAACTCTGAAAAGAGATAAAACAAAGACGAAAAGTTTCAAAATGGCGTCCAGAAATTTTCCACAATTTCGTTCCGCTTCAGCTTTGGATCAAGAAAAGGTGCCGTCTAATACACTCAAGGTAAGCTTCTAATACATTTCGACAAATGTGTTTACGACTCATTGCTTCATCACTTTACAAAAACATCACTAGTTTTTATTTGATTTTGTCTCTGGTCGAAATGATTCATCAATCATAAATTTATTCAGGGTGAGTTTGTCTGTTTACAGATTCAAGGGGCAGATCTAGTAGTATTATCTGCTCAAGAAAAAATCTCAAGAGTATACAAAACTGGAAAAATTTCTGAAAAAAAGTGACTACCCTTCTAAGTATTCCATATATAAGTAGAACCTCGTCCACAGATTCTGGCCATATCATTTGTGGTATCTAGGGTGAAGGGGTGTAATGTCGACGTGTGGGGTAATGTCGACATAATAGACGGGGTAACTTCGACACTTACGTATTAGAAGTAGAATTTCCGTTTTCCGCCATGTTTGATTTCTGGAAAAATTAAAATCTCGCGAGATCTCGATCCATGGGAGAACAAAAACATGGCTTCCCCCTAGATCGGAAATTAGAGCAAATAAACAACAAGGTGTCGAAGTTACCCCACATGTCGAAGTTACCCCAAAACGGTGTCGACGTTACACCCCTTCGCCCTAGTGATTTGACTTATCGTTCATAATACCATCACAGTAGCATTCTGGCCTAATGCTAGTTCAACAAGTTAAACCTAGTCAGAGCCTTATTTCTCATCTGACATATCTTGTGCTTCCATGCATATTCCACCAAGCACGCAGAGAATTGTATGATGGAGACGGCTTTGGAGAGAGTGGGTTCAGGTTCCGGAAACATCGAAATTGCGAATCGTAACAGTAAATAAACAACTGTTTACAAAACTGAACAAAACATTGACAAGTATGCTAACAAAATGGGAGCAAACAGTATCAAATTATAAGACAACAATTTCGGTTCTCTGCTTTAAAGGGGCAATAAGGACTGTAGAGAAAATAGGAAAGTTTTTTCATTTTTTCTGAGCTATCAAGGCAACATTTGGTTTAACATCTTCTTTGACATACCTATTTTCTTAAAATGTATGGATAAATTATCAATTTCAGCATTAAGAAGTGTAAATTCAGTTCAAAGCTTCAAAAAGGGGACTTCCACTTTTATATTTTTAAGATCCACCATGTTTCAAGAGGAATATCAGCTAAAATAATGTTTATCTGGGGGTTTCTTTGTAGATAATAAAAATAGATGTTAGTCTTGATGAAATATCCAAACTTAAACATATTTTGACACTGGTCCATGGTCGTTGAATGACCCCTCTGCACTAATTATTGCACCTTTAAGTTTGATTTAGGGACGCACAAACATATATGACCAGATTATATATAATGATTTATCCCACGATTAATGTGTTACAATAACAGCTATTGATATTTCTGATATTATTGAAATCCGTGTGATATTTTCCAGAAATCGTTTATCAAACTCATATGCGTGTGATATCGTTTATCTCACGCATATCCGTGTGATATCGCTTTGCATTTCGCGCCACAATATTGTTGGAAATTGGGTCAGATCATTTATTCTCTTTTGAGAAAATAGGTCCGTTAACTTATTCTCTTTAAGTTTCATTGGTGTATTGAATTACGATTGTGTATATAATTTGATTAGAAGGCTGCTAACTAACGATTAAAAAAATGGTATTTATGACGAACTATATCATGTCATTTACTTTTAATTGTAAAAATAAAGTGTTTCAAATATTCAATTGATATTCTAATTTCTAGTTTATATTGTCTGCCAATGTCCTGGAAATTGGATCAGAACAACACAAGGTGATTGTAATCATGGGATAAACCCAATATCACATAATTTCTCGTGATATCATTTTATCGCCTCGTAGATATCAAATATCAACACGAGTGAGCGAAGCGAATGAGTGTTGATATTTGATATCAACTCGGCGATAAAAATGATATCACTCAAACTGATGTGATATTCTGTATTTATTAAACTAACCAGCAATCGCGGAGTAAAATGCTAAATAATCTGTATAAAGCAAATAAAAATCATATTTTTATGACATGAAATGCTTTCATGTTGCTTTCTTTTTGACCTTTGGGTGCACCTGGCTACAGGAACACTGGGGTGAAAAATGGAACATTGTGAAATCTAGAATTTGAAAGATGTGTGAGAGATATTTTGGATGGTGAGATTTTTTCTAGAAAGTCTTCCAGTTTGGTCTTTAAAAAAATATTTTCGAATCTTGGGAGATCGCTGTTTACCTCTTCTCTTTGCAAATTCACAGAAGACACAGAAAAATGATATATTTGCTTGCCTTTATAACAACAGCTAATAGCAATAGCAAATTCATAAGGATTTCATCAATTATGATTATATGAGCAGATCTTTTAAGTGAGATGAAAATGTTAGATTAATGACCCTAAAATATTTTAAATGAAATATGTAAGAACAAGTTCACATGGACATAAACCTTCTTTTTTCTCAGAGCTTAACATTTCATGGAGAAAGTGAGTTATTTGCCTTTTAACAATGAAAAACATTGAAATAGTTTTCTTATTTTGAACTTTCTGCTAACTAGGTTGATTTTTTTCAAGCTTTGATTTGTAACAAGACACATTTGTTACCTATGAATATGAAATTCAATTTTTGTTTATAGTTGTTTATCGTGAAGAACAGTTATATATAAGTCCTTCACCCAATTCATTAATTCCTAGCTGTATACCTGTGTCATTGTATATTTCTCATTGTATTACATATTCCATGTATTCCCTTTTTAGCGGCACCCTAAGATGGAACTGAACAAAAATGATATGCTACGTTTGCTGAGTTATTTAGAAGGAGAACTACAAGCAAGGGATGTTGCAATTGCAGCTTTAAAAGTAAGTAACTGTCTATTAACAAAAAATGGCACAAAGCAAATTATTCTTTGAGAGGCTGATTTAAGAAACATAATTTACATTGATTAAATTCACATTTTGAATTTGTTTTTGCTAAATGGCCAAATTCTAAATTGAAAAAATACAGAATAGAGACCAAAATGTTATTATGTATTGTATTTATTCAGGAGAATTCTAAACTTAAAGGTCACACTTCAAAAACATAGAAGAATCATAGAATGCCATTTCTTTGAAACATGTTCTAGATACAATATGCCACATATTTGCAAACTAATAATTCAAAATATAAATACTAAAATAGGTTGCCATTTGTATGAGAATTATGTGTGTAGTAGTTATTACTTCAAGAAGTGGACTGTTGTGCATTGCTTCAGACCCTGTAAATCTATTTGTAGACATGTCATCCATAGACTAATTCCACTAGCAGCTATTTAATCAGTGCAAGGGCACTCTACTTGATATCTAGTGAACATGTTTACATAAATAGTGCCATTACCCACCACATTTTAGATAAATATTGGGAAGTCTACTCCTCCAGTGCTAACACTGCATAGGATAACCTAAAACTCGGGGAGTTGAGCTAAAATACAAAACTGTTATGATACTTTGACCTTTAGAATTAATTTGACGTATAAAATTCATTAGCAAAAAGTAACCTGGGTGGGGGGGGGGGGTGCTAAAATAGACTTATTTGGGATATTTGTTTGTGGTTGGCATTGTGCTTCTACTATCTTATAATGGTTTCTGAGATATATTTAATTTTTTAGCTTTGTTCATATAATCTATTCATAGAATTGAACAGGATGTTAGAGGTATTTATTTTTCATCCTGACAATGTGTACTGCAGACACTATTACTGCTTCAGGCCATACGTGTGACCTTGTACAACATTAGAATCAATATTACATTTTCAAAGTTCCAGTGTGCCATTTCCATGACTGATATTGAATTCCTCTCTTTGATCAATGATCATGGACTTCAGACAACACAAATGATTGTGTTCTTCTTCTTAAATTTATTTTTTGTCAATGTGGAAATCATGTACAGTATATATGTATTGTGAATTTATAAATTGTCCATGTTTTAATTGACCTTGATTATAATACAATGACATTCTGCACAGATTTATGAGTACACAATACAAGTTGTAAAATAAAAAAGACACAGAGATGATAGATACATCCCAGATCCACAAACTCTAAATAGAGTGTGAACCTGCTTAATTTGCACTAAATCTAGATCATGGGTTGACCGAATGTCAAGTTTAATGTGTGCTCTTCCACTGAACAAAACAAGAGTGTGTGACATGTATTGATACATGATTTGATTAAAGTTTTTGAAATACTTTAAAGAAAGGGAGGAAGTCCTAAAATGTTCATTTGGGAAAATTTGTGAATAATGAACATTTATATAAATTATTCAGTCATCAAAAATAACTTGAACAAATTTTTGCATTTGTCATTGAAAGTAATTTTGCGGAGGGATTTGAATGATGTTTTTTAGCTTCAATTCCAGGGAGGGTCCATATTTTTTTTCAACAAATTACTCATTGGTTTTGCATTAATATTAACCTAGAAATCAAGCCCATGTGGCTGGAATGATATTAAATTGCAATATTGATAAAAGCTAAATTGAATTCCTATTTGATTTCCCTCATTCTGTATGACTAAACGGAATGAAGTAGAATTAGGAAATAAGCATTGTAAAACTTATTAAAATCTTGGAATAACAGAATCAATAGTGGAAACTGCAATTGACTGTAGAAGGAAATAATGGAAAGTTGTTCATCATTTTGTCCAATTACGAGGCTTGATTTGTGATGTGATTAAATGTATTATTAGACAGTTCACTGTCTGTATAATTACTGTTCACTGTCTATTTATAAAATTAATTCATGTCAGTTTCACTGAGCCCTCAGACTATTCACTATCTCAAAATATGGCATATATGGGAGTTTTATTTGAAATGAATAGTACCATGTTGTAGATGTATATTCTGCATACAAAGATTTTTAATAGAAAGGGCAAAGATCCAATAATCAAAATATCCTTATTTTGACTATATTGTTGTTCTAAGTTGTAACATTTGTGTCAGTAAATGCCAATTTATACTGAATTTATGACTGGCTGCGGTTTTCATTCAAATCCTCTACTGCATGTAAGAAATTGTCTTCTTCTATCTAAAAGTCTAGCCCTAAAGGCAACAGTGAATATTACATAAAAGTTCTCTCTGAATCATTCTCTTTATCCCTATTCCCAATTTCCCAGTTCAACTGTGTCGTTCTTTGGATAATATCAATGTTAAACATAAGTGGAGCCAATATATATGAAGATAGATGCGTATGATAAATAGACTCTCATTCTGTTATTGCTGTAATAGAATTTATGAACAGATGTTCTTTGACTCGTAAGCCAATCCATAAAGAGTTGAGGTTTATCAAGGTTGATCAACCGTAGTAATACATATTATTCATTTCTATTAACCTTGTTTAGCTTCACCCATGAGAATAGTAACATGACTTCTGGTCATTTATTCTTCTCATGAGGCCCTGTGGTTAGCTATTCACTGTTAGTATATTATTCTTGAATTAATGACATACAGGGAAGTATGGAGAGATATAGCAATTGACTGTCAAAGCCAGGCTGAAGAGAGTTCTCAAAATGCATATTTTCGATTATTTTTTTATTTCTGTATTCTTTCAGGCTGACAAGGCAAAATACCTCCTTTATCAGGCCAAATATGGTCGTTTCGGTCTCAGTGATCCGTTCCTTGCACTACAACGTGATTCAGATGGCAACAGGGATTCTGCGTTTGATGAAGAGTCTGCTAAGGCCATCTATGACAACCAGTTGATGCAGCTGGAGAAGCTGATCTCAACACAGCGTAAAGCTCAGCTTAAGATGAGAGAACAGCTTTGTTGTGTTGAGAAACGATTTCATAAGGTACGTGTTCATAAAGTTATTTGTATATCTTACATTGATCTCCCCAGCATTAAAGCAAGCGGGTACAGCACTCACCTGAGATTTTAAAAATAGGCTTCCACCCACCTAAAAAGCCATTTGCACCCACTTGAAAATAAGAAAAATCATGAAAATAGGATATATAGGTCAGTTTGGATATGGGGTTTATCCCTCATGTGATATGCCTATGGTCCCTATGGTCCCTCAGGTAGATATGCATATATTTCTCTGGGTAAACCCCATATCCAAAACCTCCCAGTCCATAACCCTTATATATTGAACATGTATATGGCACGTATATGTTTAAATCAGATCTTGATATATTTTGTTGTAGGTTTGTGCAGAACTTGAAGATGAGAAACGTAAACATGCGCAGGATACAGCTCAGGGTGATGATGTCACTTATATGCTGGAGAAAGAGCGGGAACGATTAAAACAAGAGGTAGGGTGCCAATTCTCAGTCACTGCATCATCATACTTTGCTCATTAAACATTATTTAAAATGACATTTTTATAGGACGCATTTAAAAACAGGTTTGCATCCACCTGAAAATCCATTTGTACCCACTTGAATGAGAAAAATCATAAATAATCATTATCCCATCGAACGAAGTTCGGAGGGATATAGGGAACGCGTAAAGACACTTTTGGTAGAAGGCGGCCATTTTGAAAAATGGCCGCCATTTTAACGTTTTTTACTATAACTCGAAAAGTAGTGGAGCGATTTTGTTCATATTTGGTATGTGAATACTATAAGCATGGCACACTGTCCTATGACACTTTTGGAAGAAGGCCGCCATTTTGAAAAATGGCCGCCATTTTAACATATTTTACTATAACTCGAAAAGTAGTGACGCGATTTTGTTCATATTTGGTATGTGAATACTATAAGCATGGCACACTGTCTAAAGACACTTTTGGTAGAAGGTGGCCATTTTGAAAAATGGCCGCCATTTTAACGTATTTTACTATAACTCGAAAAGTAGTGGAGCGATTTTGTTTATATTTGGTATGTAAATACTAAAAGCATGGCACACTGTCTAATGACACTTTTGGTAGAAGGTGGCCATTTTTAAAAATGGCCCCATTTTAACGTAATTTACTATAACTTGAAAAGTAGTGAAGCGATTTTGTTCATATTTGATTTGTGAATACTCATGAGCCTTGCACACTGTCTCATGACACTTTGGATAGTAGGCGGCCATTTTAAAAAATGGCTGTCATTTTACATTTTTTAGTATAACTCGAAAAGTAGTGGAGCGATTTTGTTCATATTTGATATGTGAATACTCTAAGCATGGCACATTGTCTAATAAAACTTTGAGGAGTAGTCGGCCATTTTGAAAAATGGCCACCATTTTTATGTGTTATTTTACAAGTACATGTGTGCGATTTTTCAAAAATTTTATAGGTGGCTTCTTAAAAGCATATTATTTCTTCTGATGACAACTTGGCTAGTGAGCAACCATTTTGAAAATGGTGGCCTTTCTGGTGTGTTGTTTTATGATATTTGCATATATTTTGTTTGTAAAAATGCCAGCCATTTCTGTTCGATGAGATTCGCTACGCTTTGGCGTTGCCGTTGTTCTGGTTCCGATACTCATAGCATCTTTCTGTTTCAGGGTTAAGAAGAATTGAGATGGCATGGTTTATCATGATGTAAATAATTGGCATATTTTGACCAATTTTTCTGAATTCCATCTGAGAAAAAATCTTGGGGAGATCACTGCGTCAGATCATATGTTTTTAATCATCTGGGTGCAAATTTTCCATTCAACCCATTGTGGCTATTAAAGAAATGTGAAAATTGGTCTCAACATCCCTTCTCTGATTTTTAACTTGTTGTGAATGGAGTTTGAATAGCATGGTCATTGTATTTACCAACTGCAATCCATGTTGCTTAATGAAGTGCTATCATATTTCACCTTGTAATGTTTAAACATCTGTGATCTATTAATTAATTGAGCAATAACATTAACCATGTAGACCACTTTTAATTACACTAATTAGTTGCAAATGTAGAAGTTATGCACTAACCTTAAATGCTGACTGGCTCATCTTACATTATACATATATATATTGTACCTATGGTACACAGTGTATGTATACAGTGTTAAAGTGCAAAGACTTAACTGGTCTGAATTTAGCATTTGTCCAGAATGTGGAATTTTTCTCATATCTTCCATGGGGGTCTGGGGGGGGGAATAAATATCCTACCTGACACTGGCCTGACAGCTCAAGATATATTACACACAGGGTGTCCAATAAATAAGGTGAAAGATATTGTAACTTTCTTAATATTGCACCAATCTTGATGAAATTTTCAGAGTTTGTAGCCCAAACATTTTTACCTTTATTCTATGAATTCAAAGCGTCTTCTATTTGATTGGCCAGAGTTGTGGTTGCTATAGTAACCGAGACAACAAAAAGGCGGGGCAAGTTTGTTTACGTCACAACTTTCCAAGACATGTTTATTCTTTCTGATAGCTTTATTCATACTCCCAGGTCTATTACTACCACAAATGCAATATAAAAACTGTCCTTAAGTCCCATTGTTATGAAAATAAGCTATTCAACATAATTTCCATCTCTAGCTATACACTTCTTATGCCTATTCACCCACTCTCTAAACACACTTTCAAACCCATTCTTGCCCATTTCCTGAAGTCTTGCTAAGACATGTGATCTGAGTTCACACACAGCTATCCTCACTAGTGAAACTATTAGGGCACTGGGGCTACCCCTACTTGCACACCCTCCATATTCCCCAGACCTTGCACCCAATGACTTTTACTTATATGCAGAACTCAAGCGTGACTTGAGAGGAAATACATTTGGAAGCACTGATGAACTCAGATCGCATGTCTTAGCAAGACTTCGGGAAATGGGCAAGAATGGGTTTGAAAGTGTGTTCAGAGAGTGGGTGAATACATGTAGGCATAAGAAGTGTATAGCTAGTGTAGATATGGACATTGTGCTTAATAGCTTATTTTCATAACAATGGGACTTTAGGACTGTTTTTATATTGTATTGGTGGTAGTAATAGACCTGGGAATATGAATAAAGCTTTCAGAAAGAATAAATATGTTTTGGAAAGTTGTGACGTAAACAAACTTGCCCCACCTTTTTGTTGTTTCGGTTGCTATAGCAACCACAACTCTGGCCAATCAAATAGAAGACGCTTTAAATTCACAGAATAAAGGTAAAAAGGTTTGGGCTACAAACTCTGAAAATTTCATCAAGATTGGTGCAATATTAAGAAAGTTACAATATCTTTTACCTTATTTATTGGACACCCTGTATCTCCCTTCTTATCTCTGACATTTCCCTAAGTATGGCATCAACAGTAGCATTACACAAGGAAGTGTCAGAGAGAAAGACACTTCTTCCCATTTAACAGTAGAATGAGGGTGATCCATGGATCTGTGAATCATTTATATAACTTAAAATATCTCTCAAGAAATGTAATACACAATCCAACATGTTATAATTGTACTTTCAGCTTGTAATACACAATTTAACATGTTATAATTGTACTTTCAGCTTGTAATACACAATTTAACATGTTATAATTGTACTTTCAGCTTGTAATACACAATATAACATGTTATAATTGTACTTTCAGCTTGTAATACACAATTTAACATGTTATAATTGTACTTTCAGCTTGTAATACACAATTTAACATGTTATAATTGTACTTTCAGCTTGTAATACACAATTCAAAATGTTATAATTGTACTTTCAGCTTGTAATACACAATTTAACATGTTATAATTGTACTTTCAGCTTGTAATACACAATTCAACATGTTATAATTGTACTTTCAGCTTGTAATACACAATTCAACATGTTATGATTGTACTTTCAGCTTGTAATACACAATTTAACATGTTATAATTGTACTTTCAGCTTGTAATACACAATTTAACATGTTATAATTGTACTTTCAGCTTGTAATACACAATTTAACATGTTATAATTGTATTTTCAGCTTGTAATACACAATATAACATGTTATAATTATACTTTCAGCTTGTAATACACAATATAACATGTTATAATTGTACTTTCAGCTTGTAATACACAATTTAACATGTTATAATTGTACTTTCAGCTTGTAATACACAATTTAACATGTTTTAATTGTACTTTCAGCTTGTAATACACAATATAACATGTTATAATTGTACTTTCAGCTTGTAATACATAATTTAACATGTTATAATTGTACTTTCAGCTTGTAATACACAATATAACATGTTATAATTGTACTTTCAGCTTGTAATACACAATTTAACATGTTTTAATTGTACTTTCAGCTTGTGATACACAATATAACATGTTATAATTATACTTTCAGCTTGTAATACATAATTTAACATGTTATAATTGTACTTTCAGCTTGTAATACACAATATAACATGTTATAATTGTACTTTCAGCTTGTAATACATAATTTAACATGTTATAATTGTACTTTCAGCTTGTAATACACAATATAACATGTTATAATTGTACTTTCAGCTTGTAATACACAATATAACATGTTATAATTGTACTTTTTGTACTTTCAGCTTGTAATACACAATTTAACATGTTATAATTGTACTTTCAGCTTGTAATACACAATTTAACATGTTATAATTGTACTTTCAGCTTGTAATACACAATATAACATGTTATAATTGTACTTTCAGCTTGTAATACACAATTTAACATGTTATAATTGTACTTTCAGCTTGTAATACACAATTTAACATGTTATAATTGTACTTTCAGCTTGACTTTGAAAAAAGTGGGACAAAGAAGGCTGAAAAGGAGCTGAAGAAAGTAACAACAGCGTTGGAGGAGGAGCGTGCGGCAGCAGCCAAACATAAACAAGTTGCAATTATGTTGATTAAAGAACGCAAACAGATGGTAGAGAGGCTCCTTGCAGAGAAACAAAGGAATAATGACTCCATTGATAAGGACAAAATGAAGGTTATAGCTGAAGGTTTGGTTCAGGAAACCAAGAAGGCCAACCAAATGGAAGCTGCCATGGAGAAACAGTTGAGTGAGTTTGACATTGAGAGAGAACAATGGAAAAATAGACTAGAACAGGAGATGATTAGAAATGAAGAATTGTCATATGAAATGGATAAGTTACGCGAGCAAGTTGATTCACTTCTAAAACAGGTTAATGCTGAATCAGGGGGCCCTAAAAGTATAGAAATTAAAAGTAGTGTAACTAAAGGTAATGTACGTGAGACTGCGGTTATTAACCCAACACGTATGGGGTCCCCTATAAAGGTGACTGACAGGGTAGGAAAAAGTAATACACCCCCTCGTGTGACTCTTGGGGGAGGTAAACCGGACATGACTCAGTCTCCAGGCCGGGATGTTACAGTACCTAAAACTTTGAATTATAGCACTGTAACTTCACCTGAATCTACTGTGCAAAAAACAATAATGCGATTAACGTCTCCTACATCAGAAAACCAAACAGTTGTCAGCCCTCAAAGAGTGCGTCAAGAACGCAGTGAAGTGAAGCAGCATATTTCTAGCCCCCGCAGCCCCAGTATCAATCTTCAGGATAGGGGTTCACCACAGAGTGGCCCAGTTAATGTAAGCACAGGGGGCACCACTGTCTTTACCACGCCATCTGGTGGTAAGATATCTTTCACTGTAGGGCCAGGCACCTCTGTAAGGAAGTCATCTGCAGGTAGAGGTACACCACCCCCTGTACCACCAAATAAGCCAGCTTATGTCCCCCCTGGGGCAGGTATACAAAGTAACCAGTTAAGTCCTCGCCATGCCTCACCCCGCTCTCCCTCCCCAGGCGTACCTATCCCTGTTAAAGTAGAAACCTCACGGCCAGTCACCTCACAGGGTCAAGCCAAGTTTGGAATTACCATATCTAAGGATAAGATCACTGTGTCTGGCCCAGATAGTCCAAACCCTGAGGCAACCAATCAGAGACCTTATACTATAGCTGCTAGCCAATCAGGGGGCACTGTGACATCATCAACAACCAATCAGGGCACAGTTGTCAGGAATACATCACAGGTTTGTGTGAATGGTGTGTGAAGAAGTAGAAGGGAGACAAATGGAACTTTGAACTTTTATTGTATCAAATACAATTAGATAGCATATTTAAGCAATACACTAAATGTCAAAATATTATTGGAATCAATAAAAAATTATTTAATACATATATAATCATGAACTAAACGAGTGAATTGGTCGTTTATCTCTTACCAAGAAAAACTTCAATGGAGGATCATTTCCTCCATAAACCCAGCACTGTACATTGGTTAAATCAGCTGATTGCCATAAAAAGGATGTTTAAATCATGGGATAGATGCAACATCCTCTTGCCTGGGTGTAGTTAGAATTGATGTTGTAACTTCTAGTTGTCTCTCTCTTCTCCTTCCTTGAATATTTCACTTTGATTTTGTTTTAGTTTAGGATATCACCTCATCAATTATATTTACATGTATTTGTTTGGTTTGTTACCATTTCATAATACTACAGTATATTAAGAAGCACTGCTTGAAATGATTGTCATTTATCAGTCTGTATCAACCAGATTAATATTTAATTAATAACAAATTCTTGGAAAACAAATGTTTTGAAAGATTTTTACATACTCTGATTGACACAGACTCAGTACATATTGATTACATATTCTTGCAAACTTGAAACCAAAGCATTATTTGCATTTTGATCAACAATTCCACATTGGTATTCTGAGGTCAATCATGACCATGAGCTTTTGTAAAGAATTAAGAATTACTAAATCTGTTGTTCTTTTACTTAATGATAATCTCTGTTGTTGAAATCATTGATAAGAAAAAGCTCCTGGTAATGATTCCTGATTGTTGTAATGATGACTGATATTGTTGTATTTCTATATATGTTGTTTTAATTCTGTGTTAGTTGTTGTATTTCTGTTGACAGGGCCGTGGCTGGGTGGTCAATCCCCCTGTTAGTGCGAATGTAACCCTGAAAGCCCCTCCAGAGAATAAAGGAGCTGTATGTTAACCATGCTATCTTTGCCATGTGCTTTAATGTCATCATTGCGCTTGAATGTTTTCCCTGTGCTTAAATGTTTTCCTGTGCTTGAATGTTTTATTAGGGGTGGGACGGATAACCGAAATACCGAAAAACCGCGGTTCATAGCCTTCGGATCGGTTTTCGGATCACGGCCCTACTTTCGGATCAGCTTTTCGGATCGTTTTCGGATTAATATTTCATTGGTCAAGTATGAATAAAACAGTTAAAAACACTGTTTTACAGCAACATTTTTGATATTCCTAGTCCCTACCTTGTCTGTCTTGTCTGTTGCTAGCTCACTCGTTTATTTGATTCGTTTTGTATCCCTCGGTAATCAATCATGTGGTCCCTGGTTCTATATTCTTTAGTCGTGTATTCTAAATGTATTGTTCATGAAATACTATAACATAAAATTCCATCTATAAAATATTGTTATAACGTGGCATAATTGATACAAAGATTTGCGCAAATTTATATTTGCGCAGGTTCGATATAGGGTATTATTTTGTGCGCACCCACAATACATTCAAATATGGCGTCTGGATCTCAAATTCCCGTTTTCCCAAAAGAAATGAAGATTATTTTATTGGTTGTATTAAAAGAAAGTGACAGTCAGCAGTGAAGTCAGAGACAAAGCAGCTAATCATGTCAATCAATACAAATCCTTAAAATGAATGAACCGAACCGAAAAAAACCGAACCGACGGCTGATGATCCGAAAAACCGAACCGAACCGAACCGAAACGAACCGTCCCATCCCTAGTTTTTATATATGCTTGAATGTTTTTATATATCGCTGTTCAAGAGCCAAAGTGTTCTATGTCACTTTTTGGCCAAAATGAGATAAATGTGGATTCCCCCTAATTTGACAATGCTCTTTCCATCTAGCATGGTCTCAAGTGTGAAATATAGCTGTAAACATGTGATTTTTAGTATTCAATTGTTCTATGTCTGGAAAAACAGTTATCCCAAATGAATTAAATTATCCTATGTCAAGATCTCAGAAAACTGTAAAAGTTGATTTGTTCTATCTCATCCAGCAAAAGGGGAGTAGCAGAGAAAACAAACAAAATTAAAAAAGAGAGTGTAGAAAGATGAGTGATTTAACAGAACTGAACGTACCACACAGAGATTTTGATCTTAAAACATAGAATGACATCTATAAGAAGAATTAACTTGTAATTTACTTAATTTTTTATAATGAAAGGACCCACGGTCCTGTGCTCACACAGTTTGGAACCCTCAGAGGAATGTATATCCTGACTTTTAAACCAAAATATTGATTTGGATTTGTAGTCTCGAACTTTGAGAAACTTAGATAGCACAGTTGTGTGACCCTAGTTTGATGACCTTTGACCTTGAAAATTTTACTTAGTCAGAGCTCAGTAAGGTCTTTTGTGATTAAGCTGACCAAAATTTACATCCAATTTTGACCTTTCGAAGGTCACTGAAGGTCAAGTAAAGGTCAAATCCTAAAACTAATGTCAGATTTGAACACCTGGCAACTTGTAGATGATTTTCAAAAAAGAATTTGGTCAAATTGAAGCAAGTTGAAAAATATCTTATTTTTACTGTTTTTTGACGTCAAATATCTCAAAAACGGTAAAAATTTGATGCTGACATATATTAAGCAATATGTAGGGAATGCTTAAATCTAGTAATAATGTAATTCATTGCAAGAAATGATCAAGTATAAGGCAAACTTTGAGAAACTTGTCAATCACAAAACCTGCCATTGACTTTATACATGAGAAAGTTTCCTGAAAATGACTAAGTCCTACTTTTTGTCAAATTTTATAGCGTAAACACCAAAAATTGTAATTCCAAGAGCTTTGAAATCTTCAGAGGACATAAGCTGCATATAAAGCAACTACTACAAGTTATTTGAAAGTTCTTCTTCAACAAAGTGTCTAGTATTTACAAAAAAATTGACTTTTTGACGTCAAAATCAGCAATTTCTCGGAAACCGGGCGAACTTGGGAAATGGCGATGATAGGTCAAATAGGCATTATGGATATGCATAAAATGAATGTGGTTATGACTCAATCTGAATAGCAGTTTTAATTTGTGCGGCCAATGTTGACAGACGGAGGGACCAACGGACGGACGGACCAACGGACGGACGCCTGGTCGATCCCATAGGCTCACTATGTGAGCCAAAAATTACTTGTACGACATAATGTTAATTAAGTGTGATATAACTTACCAAATACGTAACGTACCAAAAGAGATCTTTAACTTAGGACATAAAGTGGAAACAACAAAAAAAATACTTGTAATTTACTTAATTTAAAAAAACTTTACTTGTAAGACATAAAAATGACAGATAGCTGGAGTAGTTGATGAAGTCTCAGTTATTGATAATGTATCTTAAAGTCTTCTAATTAATGATATCTTTTATTTTTCAACATTAAGTCTAATATCTATGTGTGTTTTTTCTCAGAGTACTGTTTATTTTGTATTTTAGATTGTAATTTTACGTAACTGTGTGAACGAAATTATTGATAATGTAAAAGTAGGAAAAAGTTACAAGAAAAACAATGAAAACTCAAGCACAAATGAAAGGAAAATGAGCAGACAGCTTGGGATGGACAATCGCTTCCAAGGAACTTTGCAGCAAACGAGGGAGTAGCAAAGAAAACAAAAAAAGTAAAAGACAAAAGAGGCTGCTTAGTGATTTAATAGAAATGAATGTACCAAACAGAGATTTTTAACTTAGAACATAAAATGACAACTACAAGAAGACATAATGTTAATTTAGTGTGATAATATAACTGAGCAATAAAAATGACAAGTTGCTGATGTAATTGATGATATCCCAGATAATGATATTTTATATATAAAATGATATTTTATATATAAAATGATATATTTTATTTTGTATTTTAGATTGTAATTTTACATTGTCTGAACCAAATTATGGTGTCATAAATTGTTCAAATTGTGTAATTGTTCTATCTCAATTCACATTTGTCCTAAGTCAGCTTTTCTAAAAAAAAATGACTCAAATTGTTCTATCTCCACTTGTCATGTTTTTAAAAAACATACTTAAACTAATCAAATAATTCCCATTTTTTGCAATATCAGAGATCATATTAATATAAATCAGTTGTAGAAACATCAAAAAGCTGGGTTTCACACAAAAAAAGTTATTAAGTATCAAACTTTAAAACTTGATTTCCCAAAAGTCATGTTTTTTGAAATAGAACACTTTGGCTCTTGAACAGCGATATGCTTGAATGTTTTTATATGTGCTTGAATGTTTTTATATGTGCTTGAATGTTTTATTGCACTTCCAAAAGGTGCCATATTGTGTCTTTTGTCTTGCTTGTTGTGCTTCTGGGAAGATGGGCATGTGTCACCAATATCTTGTCATTGAAATTCCAAGAAAACTGCCTTTATACTTTAGGTTTTCAGCATGTTGGGAAAATAATGGCAGCTATTTTGCCATTCAAAATGTGATATTCATCTCTGTGTGTCCGGTTACGTGTGCTTAAATGATTCAATCATATTTTCACATAACAAACAGCAATATGAAACTTATTTTGCTTGGCAGGACTCAAAATTTCCAAACAGATGAAAAAGCTTTGAAAAAGTTGCACTGAAATTTTGTGTTACCCTTTAAGATTTATTGCGATACTGTTACGCACACTGTACACCATGGGTACCAAATGAATTTGAAAAAGTGTTAAAAATGCATTTATTTGTTTACACATTTATTGATGATTCTGTGCTTGTTTATTTAACCATTTAGTTTTATCAAAATAGAACTATTTAAAGTTGATAAAAAACAAATTCCTGGGGAGCATACCCAAGATGCGTGGCCTTCAGCCATTCAATCAGACATCCCCAATTTGGTGGTACCAACTCAAAATGTAGCCCCATGCCCATGGTGATGATATACCTTAAATGTTGTGAATCCCAAATATTATCTTCGAGTTTGCTGAATTTTACATATACATGTATAACTGATAACCAGTATATAAGCTGACTGGTATAAAAGTTTACAGTTTGCTTAAAATTGTCAATAATTATAACTTATAGGTCCAGGCATATTTAGTGAAAAGATTTGAGATGTTACAACTTAGTTCTACACTATAGTGATCAAGAATCATTAGTGTAAATGCTAGTATGCAATTTTTACAAGATCTACAATGCATGCCTTCATGTTTTTTCTTTTTGCCATTTGCTTCCTCAAAACACCTAAATTTTTATTTCTTACTAAAATAGAAAGTCTGAATAAATGTATCCTCCTTGTTATTTTCCCTGCATGAAGACAGTTTTCTTGTGAAGGTACATATCTAAATGAGTCATAAACGAATAAGAGATTTCTGAAGAGATAATTTTTAATGAGCCCATGTAAACTGCAACCAGACTTCTATTGTCACTTCAATTAATTGGCTACGTAATAACAAATTGTAACCAATAAGAACCAGAGTTACTGGGAGCCTGTTTGCAGTTTGCACAATTTGATTTTTAATGGGCGTTTTCAAAGGCATTATACTAATTTTGGTTAAAATTCCAAGAAATACTGAAATAGCCAAACCCGCTCAATAAGTGCAATGTTGTTCATAGCTGGAACATTTTGGCTAAAGTCTGTGTTAGTTCTTTAATATTAATCATGTCACGATGGCTCAAGTTGTTTTCTCATTATTTCCTTAAAATAGATGCAACTTCTCCAAAAATAACTTTAATGTGATGAAAATTCTGCAGTTAACAGTTCAGACAGCCTTTGTCTTGGAAGTATGTAATTTTTCAAAGCGTATCAGTTAGTACTTCTTTGCATGGTTTATTTTTAGTTCACCAAAAGTTCTAATCTGAAATGCTTTTGTTAGTTTCTTCAAAGATGAGATAGACGTCCTTGGTTTCTTGTAGGCATTAGATGCCCTTTCTTTTCTAGGAATATGCTTGGACGACAGTCAAGCCAAAATAGCAGTTATTAGGTACCCAAATACATGTTTAAATGTATTACAATGTGAAACTTTGTATCTAATAGTTTGTACTTTTTAAGTTGTTACAGATTGCAAGCATGAACTGTTGAACTTTGCTATGAATTGAATGAACATTGTTTATTTCTTATGAATGTTGAGTTTGTTGAAATATGTGAAAGGAAACGAGCATATTTCATGAAATCAACAATTCATAAGAAAAACATGAATTTTACATAGCAGCATTTATTGCATGTTTATTATGATTTTATGTAGACTACGTCACTAGTATTTTGGCAGGCGACTAAAAATATGACGCTTCAACTCCCAACAAAACAAACTCAACTTTAGCGCCATACAGGTAGCAGCCTCGTTGTCTCACACAGGCGAAACATTTATTTTCTCCCAAAATCCCTCTCACAATCATTAAATCCCTCTAATTTTTCATCACCCTTCTAAATAAATATACCTAGGTTATGGTGGTTAAAGATTCTCATAGTTTACTTTGACATAAATCATATAACTATTACAGTAGAAGTACCAAAGTACCATTACTTGCAATTTGAAATTCCTCCCATATAATGAGATTTGTAAATATTATGAGTAAACAGTTTAGTTTTTGGAATTTTGATAGTTTGCATTGGATCTATCATGTCTATTGATATATATCGAGGCTTGTAATCTAACAAGTATTATTTTTATGTAAGAATTTGGAAACTTTTCCTTTGAGGTTATTTGTAGTATGAATATTACACCTGTTGGAATCAACATTCATCAAAGGTTATAGATTAGTGAAGCTCTCAGGTCAACCAAGAACGTAAACAGAATTTTGGAATCTTCCATATATCATAGTACTATCTTTTACTTTAACTGATGTATATAGTAAGTAGCTGTGGATATAAATCAAATAAGGAGCTTCTTCAAAAACCACCTATTATCTAATTTGTGAAATTCAAAGAGCAAAATTCAAATCCTTGTATTAAAGACACTATTTGGCTGAAATACCATGACATGATAAACATCACAGTCACTCATCCACTTATGGCAGTCCTAGTCACGAGGCCACCCTGTGTGAATAATCATCACCTACATTTTAATTCATTATTATTTTCATCACCCTTTATCCAATTTTTTATTTTTTATCCATAACCACCCGTCATTACTTAGTAGTCAAATTGTAGATGCTTTCCCTTTGGCTTCATCCATGTTGATTACAGGAGATTGGTGCTTCTGTGAAACCTTGGACTCATGAGACTATGTAATTTCACTACCTCTTCAAAAAGAAGATTTCATCTATATATGGATGTAAGGTGTAAGACAAGGGTTGTGTTATAACTCGGTGGAGATTCTTCCTTGCAGCTTCATTTAACATTCATTTCATGTCATGGTGTTATGTTAATTTTCAAGCATGATATAATACTTTTTTCAAATGTCATAATGTCAAGTTAAGAAGGAAAATGTAATTTCTTATCAGTAGGGTGTGAGGTTGATCCATTTGGAATCTTATCTATTCATACAGAATGAGCATTGAAACACAAATTTTCCTGAATAAAATTTGCCCTTTGACTCATTTTATTCACTCATGAACTATTGGCTAAACAGGCACACAATTGTATTTTTTGTCTGATCCAGAATATCCCAAAATATTTTTACTTCAGATTGATCCAATCTTGCACTATCATATAAACCTTCTGTTTGAAAATATCAAGGTTTGGAAAAATTGCACTCCCAGTAGGCATCATGACAATTACCCTCACACTTTTCAATTTTAAAGGCAATACATTCACTTCCTGCACAAATGAAGAAGGTTCATATGAAAGTCTATTGATGGTGTTAGTTTCATTATATGTTTGTGCATTAAGAAAATTTAGGAATGATTAAGGATCAGAACTATCGGCAGTATTTGAGAAATTTGGCAGGCACCATGACATGTTGATCACCTTGGGAACATCGCATCTCCAACTTGAATCCTAATATAATGCTTTATGCCGTGTCTGTACTTGTAGCAAGACGACCTGGGACAACACGACTCAGGCCCTTCCTCCCAAAATTTAACGTCTAACCCTGAGATTTTTGAGCCCGAAATGGCTGACCTACAACAACTCCTTGTAACCATGGTAACAGGTAAAGGGATAGAAATACTCTTCACTGCCTACTATTTCTTTATAATACTCCTGTGTTGGTTTGATAATTATGCAAAATTCTGGAATTGTACAATATCTTTGAGTGTGCATCATACTATGGAATGTAAAACCAGTCTGTCTTATTTAATACTACTCTATACGATTTCTTCATATATAATACTTTGTGAATGCCATAGCAAATAATTTTATAAATGACTACTGCAACATTGCCACATTTTCAAATTATAAAATTTTTAGTCACTGAACTCATTACCTTAAAATATAATGAACCAAGTGCTAGTTTTATTTCCAATAAATAATATTGTGAAATTTTTCTTGTTTCTTTGGAGGAGACATTTTAAAAAAGTATTTTTTTTATTATTAAATATTTAGTCAAACTCTTTACCCAAATGACCAGATATGTCTTTACTCTCTCCTGTTTTTTCTGAAACTGACCTTCCTTACATTGTCCTTATCATCTGTTCAGATTTTTTATCAGCATCCATTAGCAAGAGCCATTAGCAAGGGAATACATGTAGCTGGCTGTGGATAGTAAACACTACAGACCTTGTTTATGGCCACCCTTGCACGCCTGTTAAGGTTTTGTAATACTATACAAAACAAATGTTGGTTCTGGTCTAGTATTCTCAATTGCATTTCTATTAATCCCATATGTTTTATGTTCCAGTATTTATAAACAAATTTTGAATTGACATCCATTGATTGTTACCATAAGGAAAATGGTGTATCATTACATTTAGTAATTTCAATCTTTCTTTTTTTCTTCAATTTTAAATCTCTATAACTTATATCAATGTTTGTAGCAAAATAAACGTTCTGTTATATTCTTTCAAATGGAGTGTTTAAGGAGAACTCTGTGAATGATCACCATGTTGCAATACATAATTTTGCTTTGACATGACCATCTCAATTAGCATAAAAATAATTTATTCACCATAGATATGCATTAATTAATAGGAGTAACTTATAAGAAGAATAAACAGTAACAGAGCCTGGTTTTGGTCCATATTATGATGCACTGAGAGTTTACATACTAGCAACATTTACGCAACCAGATTTATCAGCAGAGAAATGGCTTAAAACTCATAATTCCTGAATAGCCAGTAAAGTTTCCAGTTGAACCAATGTAAAAGTGCATAGGTTACTTAGGTGAGACTATGGCTAGGTAAGGTGCCATAACTCAGTAGTTGAGGTTGAACACAATTTCTCATGTAGCAATGTATTTTAAGCCATTTTACTGACTGTATTACTCTTACAGATAACCTTTACATTTTCTAGATCTTCATAACTTCAGAATGCACACAAATCATCAAGTATTTTCTCAGACTGGAGTTGCACTTATTTTATTTCTTCAGCTGATTTGCTGTTTCTATTTAGGATTATTATCAATAAAGTTTATATGGTTGAATTTAAGTATGCTTTCTGGAAGAGAAATCTGGTTGCGTCAATAATATCAATTTAGCCTGCCAACTTCTTGAGTAACTGATATGATCAGATGATCCCCTCCATTTAATTATGGATTGACATTTCTATCCCTTTATCTTTGTTAAATGAATTACAAGATTGAAGATATCTGACTCTGAATGCTATTAGACATGAATATAAGTGGCATCAGTTCAGTTTCTCATATCTTAAAATCTGGGCTAATGGGGGTTTGTTATGATTTTCTGGTGACCTTTGACCTAACCTTTGACATTAAGATTTTTCAAGAGGCCCCCCTGGGAATTTCTGTAATTCATTTTCAAGATCATCTCATCAATCAGATTGCTCTATAGCTATAAGAGGTTGGCAGGCTGCTCTAACCCAGTAAACAATAAACATATTTTTTTTGCATTTCTCTCTCGTTTAATGCTAACAGACTTGAATAAGAGGTATGCTACATAGTTCTTGAAATAGCTGAATGCATGCATAAGTATATAATGTATATATAGATGGTTTTAGGTGTAAAGTATTTATTAATGTTGTTTATGTTTAGTTTATAGCTGATGCTCAGAAGGAAAACAACATTTAATATATTTTTTCTCTACTAATTCACCATAGAAACAAGTATTATCATTTCTCAAAACATTTATCCCAATTAAAAATTGGTCAGGATTATGACTCTACCATGTTCATTACAGTTACAGATTTTCCTCATGAAATATTTCTGCAATCTGTATCAATAATTAGCCAAACACCTGTCATATCTGAAGTCTGGTTTACTTTCCATATTCTAAAATCCAATCCAGATTAAGCATTCTAATAAACAACTTGATACCCAAGCTCTTAAACTAGCAATCTGACTTGCTAAAAGTAGGAGTGGCTGCATGGCATGCACTATTGAATATAATATTATATTGATGTATTTTATTAAACGTTGTATTAATGGTAACTCCTAGCCCTCCTCAAAGTTAGCTCAAAATATGTGAAATCTAAAAGTCGGCCTCAACTTGGCTTCATTTTCAAATGTGCCTTTTTTATTTGAAAATTGGCCTTAAGTTTGAAAAAATTGCCAAGTTTCAAAAAAATCTTTTCATATTATTTTTTTCAACTTCATCAATTACCATGTTTGTCCTTGCAGACACATTGAAAACAACTAAACCAATGTAAATTATTCCTGATATAATATTTATATTCTAAATTTATGTGTCATAGATATCATACAGTGTTTCTGAACCACTTTGTTCACCATGTTTCACTCAGCACTAACATCATTCCATTCCCCCATTGTGAGCCTCTTACAACTTATGACCTTGAAAGTCGGTGGCCACCTGTTGAACAATTTGTAAAGCGATACACATACATACAGTTTAGTTCACTTTAACAGTTGTAATCAGTAAATAGAATCATTAGGCCACATGAAACATTTTGTTTTGTGTCCATCTTCACAGCTGTATGTTTCATTTGAAAGATACTTGTCATTTCCTTTTACATCTCCACGCTCAATTGTTGAAAATGTTGATTAATATTTGACACTAACACATTCATTTTGTATTGTTGTTCATGTTTTACTGCTTAATCCTCCTCATTTCATGTACAGAAATGAAGCATATGATTTGGTTCTCTGTCCTTTGCTGCGTCTTGCTTTGCATGTTGTAAGCATAGCCTGAACTGAAATAAGATAACACTGTAATTATGTTTTATAATGTATTCAGTTTAGTTATATAGACCAGACTTAGAAATAATTAAACTATACACTATTATATACTATTGTATATTCCTTTGATTTGCACATTCTATCATATTTGAATAAATCTGGTTTAATATGTGAAAGTTGTTGATTTTCAAGTGTTGTTATTTTGTTATACGTCAACTATTGTTTTGATTCCAGGTGAAAATCATCCATCTAACATAGAGACCCCTTCAACTAGTCACAAACCTGCCCCATTCCCTGCCAACACAAATGCTACCTTAGTTAATAAGTATACTTCCTGCGGAGACCTTGATAATTTACGTCGGATGATCCTTGAAGAAGAGATTGCTGTAAATATTGCTTTAGAAGATGGAACAACGCCAGTTCTGACTGCTGCAGAGAGCGGAAATGAAGGTGAGAACTTTTGTGAATTGTTCATTTTTATCTATTATGCCTACTTTAAATGAGAAAATATAAAGAAACAATTTTGCCTCCTTATTGTCATACGTAAAACTTAGTGGATTCATAACTTATTTTGAACCATTGAGTTTATTTCCTAGATAATTACAGACCAAATGGATAGATTGGTCGTTATATAATTGCATCATTAATATCTTATGCAGTTTTTTATTTTCTCATTTCAGACTGCTTAATTTTTTTATTGGACAATGGAGGGGATATTAAATCTACCAGATCTGATAACTTTTCCCCGTTACACGCTGCTGCTGGAGAAGGGCATTATGGGTAAGAATTTTTCATAATACATGTAAATAGATCTTCCTTTATCTATATGAAAAATGGAATTCATATTGACGCACTTTTAATGTTAAGGTCCAAAGATGTGTTTTCACACTGCAGTACATGTAAATCACTCTTGGAATATAATTAATTTCGTGACCAGGAAATGATTTTACTTCCAGATGCCTTAAAATACTGCTAGACAAAATTGACCAATCAGATGTTGATGTTAGTGACCGAGCTGGCTGGACTTCGCTGTATTGGTCAGCGTCAAATGGCCATCTTGAATGTTGCCGTCTGCTTTTGGACTATGGTGCTAAACTAAATGCTTGTAATAATGTAAGACAGCATTTTACTCTTAGGGATGCACAGATATCAGTGTGTTATCAATTTTTATTTTGTTGGTTGTACTATTGTTACATTCTTTTACTCCTACACTTATACTTGGATAAGCAAAGTATAATTTAAAAGTTCAATATGGCATTTTCACACGAAAATATATGTGGATAGGGGAGAGGTTCAAGTCCACTTTTTGAGTTAAAGATATTGAAATATCCTATCCATTCATTTTACTCAACAATTACTTCTGTGTTTATTATAAACCTTTAATATAGAGGTAAAAAAATAAAAAAGTAAAATTTCAAGCGCCATCTTTTTAGTTTAATTCTGTGATTTAGCTATTTTACAGCGATCATTTGTTATGGCGAATTATTCATAGTCAGTAATGATATATTTATAAATATTGTATTAATTCTGCCATTGTTTTCTTCAGGCTGGTTGGACCCCCTGCCATGCTGCCATTCACGCTGGACATTACAAAACTCTGGAATTTTTACTTACCTACAAAATGGACCAATCAGAGCCTCTTGCAAAGTCATGTGATTTGATAAACAAGGAAGATAATGATGGTTGGACCATCACTCAGCTTGCTTCAATCAAAGAGTCAAAGGTCAGTGTGTGAATTTTATCTTCTGAAACCTGATAGGTAAATGGATGTTCAAAACATGTTTGCAATTCAATTCATGAAAATAAGGGTTAAAGGGTGTGCAGTTCTCATTCAATGTAATTATGCTACAATATAGCTATTGTATAGAATTATTGATCTTTTCAAGTCGCATCATAAGATTATATCCCGACGACACTAGGTAGACTGCAGATCAGGGTTGATTAAGATATGATTTTTACAGTCAATGCTATTGACCCCTATTTGACCAATCAAATTTGAGAACTGTATATAAAAATAATTAGTATGATATTATTTCGATTTATGCTGAACACTGAATTACAGGAGATGCTGCAATGCATTATGGGAAACTATAGTCCTGACCTAGAGAGAAAAGATAAATGGGGACGTTGCACTAAAGATATTGCATCTAAACAATGTAAACAGTTACTGGAGGGACTAGGTAATAACAACACATTCTATATTCATTTGTTATGTCATCACTAGAATGTTGTGGCAATTGTTATAGCTTTCATTCTGTTTTTGAATGATCATTCATAATACATTACATATAGCTAAAATATAGACAGCAAAATATTTGGTTTTAAATCAAGTTTATTTATTTATCAATTAGTCATGTGAAACGATCCAACCCATCAAAGTCCATTTTGTTTTCAGATATGCTCAATTGATATATTGATATATTGTTTTGCAGACAAGAATGAACACTGTTGTACTGTAGTTATTGACCTTGACCCCAATGACACCATCTCTACAAGCACTAGCCAGGAAGCCTCATTCAGTATTGCCAACATCAGTATTACAGAAAGCACAACATGGTCAGAGCTTGAAGGCCAACTCAGTGATGTCATAATGGAGCACCTTATAAGTACTGCCAATGGGTTGAAGTTGAAACGACCAATGAAAACGGAGATTGAGAATTCCAATGAGGGCTATGCCCTTGGACTAAGTCTGGACAGCATCAAGTATTATTCCATTGGTAAGAGGATGTGCTGAATTTGTTGAATGTGGTAGATTCCTATATCATTAGGATAATTCAGATATATTATATATCCCAGGATAGTGACATATCCTCTCATACGATAGATAGATGGCAACATAGAACTGGGTTATATTTACAATTCTGTAAAACGTAACAAAATGACAAAAATCATTACATTGTTAACACCAATAATGCTATACATACTGAATTTGTACTCTTGTGTTGTAGGTATGCACCGTTGGTCACCAGGAACCCCACATGAGAAAACACCATTTGAAATAGTGGCCAACAATGAGACTGAGAGGATTGTGGTGGAGCTGTTTGCTTGGGATGATGACTGTCAAGATAGTTTGGCTTATGAGACACTGATACCTGTACAAACACTGCACAACTACCTGAGACTGGTAGGTTGAGCAAATAGCATTGAAACATGGCTTTAGTTCTTACACCATTCTGAAGTAACAATGTCTTACATAATTCTGACTTTTAGAATGCAAGAAGTCTTTGATACAAACCATATTTTCTTAAAGCATGAAAAATTGCTTCATACTGTAGACCTCTTTTTAGGGGGGGGGGGGGGGGTTATTAAAAGGTTTTGCCACTTTAAAGGGAGAATATATCAGGTTAAGGGTGAAACAATGCCAAACAATATTTACAATTAACTGAGCAACTGTGTTCTATACCCTCATCTATATAACATTTTTAAGAAAGAGCCATGAGATTTTAATTATGAATTTATGAGTTATTCTATAAGAACTGAAATGAATAGGCTCTCTAGGCCTCTAGATGTTAGATGTCACACCCTGGGTCAAGAGGATTTAAAAATATGTCATTCAATACCTATACTATGTTTCAGATTGAGCAATATAAATGTCTGGTGTTCTATGGGCCAAGTGGAACTGGCAAGTCATACCTGGCAAGGAGGCTGGCCCATTGTGTACAGGTAAACTTTAAAATATGTTACGACAAAACTAATTTGATTTCATTATTATTTCATTTTGGAGAGGGGTTAAAAATCCCTCATTCAATTACTCAGATGCGAGTAGGTAGTTACCAGGTGGCTGATTCGGGGGAATTAACATGGCAGGGTATTACAAAATTCCCTTAAACTTGAATATGCATCAGTTTTAGTGGTTCACTTTTCATATTACCCTTATGTATCGGGTAGTTATACAAATTAAAATATGTCCTTTAAAAGAAAATATCTGCCCAACACGAGAAAAAATATTTCACTTTTTGTGGTTTTACAACATGGGGTCTATGGGGAATCTCCCCCACCTAGAAGTCACATTTTCATAGAAAATTAAATTTTCAAAGTTGATTAACTCTTCAAAACCACATTATTTTGTAAATGTAATTTTACATGTTGATTCCAAATATGACATCAGTTTGACTGAATTGTGAATTTTTAATGACATAAATCAATATTATTTCTACTCGCATCTGGGATATTCATTTACGTCATTTAAAGGAAAACCTTTTAAAATTTGAACACCCCTTATACCTAGTGTGAGTCTTTTCTAGAACAAAGGCATCTTTGACAGTTGTTGATGAAATGTATCTGTAATATTAAAGTCAAAAGCTTATTTTTGTGAAACAATTGTATTTTTTTAAATTTTGCATTTTCATAGAGAAATATACATTCAAAGCTGATATGTTCTATATCCTTACCCTTATAAAAAATCCGACCTTGAAATTCCGAAAACAGACCATCGCAAGCAATCATCGATTAATGATTGCTTCAACCATTAAGATCAAAGGAAAAACCATTGCAAAATGACATGCAATCATTGTGCAACCATTGGTTGTAACCATAAGATTTACACTAATTGCAATGATTGAGCAATCATTGAAGTGCGATCATTGCATTTCTTAATGCAACAATCTACAACCATTACTCATTGAAATCTGCAATAGTTGCAATGGTTGCATTCAAGCATTGAATGTTTTTATCATTGCAACTTCTGCAACCATCTTGAATTTATATTTAGTTACATTTCGCATCCTGCATTTGTAACAGAAATCAGTAAGATACAAGATTTTAGGACAGAAAAATCCACTTAAACACTAACCCATAATCCCCAAAACTAATCAGATTGAGATTTGCATACTAAGGCCAATATGGCCCCACACTGTGGCGTGGGGACATAAAAACTGAAATATCAATTGCATTGATATATGCTATATTTACATTTGATAAGTGTTATATTTACAATGATATGACTTGTGTCTCAAATTTACAAATATGTACAACATATACATATATGATATTCCATATGTACGTCTCTCTATTAATTTCACACATAATGGCTCTTGATATATTTCATATGGCAGTCTCTATATGTTCAGTCTCTATATATTCATATGGCAGTCTCTTTATATTTGTGTGGCTGTCTCTATACATTTCCATATGGCATCTCAATATATTTTATATGGCAGTCTCTATATATTTTGTGTGACAGTCTCTATATAATACGTGGCAGTCTCAATAGATTTGGATAGCAGTCTCTTATATATCATATGGCAATCTCTATATATTTCCTTTGGCAGTCACTGTATAGTAGGATTTTGTTTGGCAGTCTCTCTATTTATTTACTTATGGCAGCCTCTGTATATTATATATGGCAGTCTCTATATAATTTGTATGGCTGTCTCTATATATTTCGTATAGCAGTCTCTCTTCAATTTCCAAATGGCACCAGTCTATTTATATATTTTCACACAACAGTCTCTAGGCCTATATTTACATTACTGTCTCATCAGCTGATTTCTTTTTGGGTTTTGGGTATCTCTGATCTTTTTCCCGATTTCCAGCCTTACAGCACTCTCATCGCAATTAAATTTGCTCTTTATAAAATCTGGAAATATAAAGACAAACCAAACATGAGTCATAATGGCTGAGGGTACTAACTAAAAGTGTTTCCAGATATTTCAATATATAGCAAACAGTTTCATATGGAGGTTCTTAAACATCTTCTTTTTATTGCAGTAAACATGCTGATTGATTAGCTCCGTAATTAAATAGTTCAAAAAGTTTCTCATTGTACTAATTTGTCTATTTTAAGTAATTAAGTACATTGTATTGAAAATATGTGGACCATCCCATCATTTATTTGCACTTACCAATAATTGCTTTGAGTCTCACAGCATCCAATATCCCTACAATTGTTTTATTTCCGTTAGCCTTCCCAGTCAGATTCATAAACGTAAGCTCCCTGTATGTAAACATTCCTTGGACTAGTGCTTTGGTGGCCTTCGGCATGAATCTCTGTGCCAATGCATTCCGTTGCAGTGAATCTGGTATCGACTACAAATAAGAGAACAACTGATTTGAGATTTCTCAAACAAAAACTTAAATGTTGATTGTCTCATTAATATGTGTTTTCATTTTTATCCCATCAAAGAGATCTTGTATGCAAATCTAAGTTAAAAGAAGAAACATTTACTTTAACTATATGCAAAATTGTATTTAAAATTTAACATATTCTATGAAGTTGGTAAGCTTTGTAAATACTTACAGTCCTTAACATTGTTGCTTTCTCCGCATCATCTCTCGGCTCCACAAGGGGATGGTACTCTCTCTCTGTTTGACTGGCAGGATCTGCTATATCATCTAATAAACCCTCAAGAAGTTCACTGTCTTCTGCTGTTAGGGATGTCATATCGCTTGACAACGTATCGCTAGGCACCCCTACTGGGTCGTTTACCAACTCTGCTGCATTGGTAGAGGGTTGAGTTACAGTACTTGAACTGGACACTGATTGGCTCCGAGAAGACTGGCTGTCTAAGGTTAGGCTGGATGGATATTGGTTCGTGCTTATCCATTGTTGTGTTGCTGATGGTTGTATTAATGGTTGAGGCTGTTGCCTTTCCATGAGGAGATTCATCACTTTGTTTTGGACTGTAAAACAATTATATAAATTCATGTTTTACTGTAATATACAGAGAATTGTTATATACCAATTTCCATGGCAGGAATAACATTCATAAGATTTCACTTTGTAAGGCAAAATACAACGTGCAAATTACAACAAGAAATTGACTCGAAATTTTTGATGGAAATTATATAAAAATAAAGAATTGATCAATATGATGAATTACGTATTTTTAACAATAAACAGAATGAAATTTTTGGTCATATAGCAAACACTTAATCATAGAATAAAGGTCTTTATTCCTTAGTCAATGTAGATTGCATAGGTATTTTAAAATAAGACAATATATAGATTAATTGTTGCATCTCCTTCTATTGATTTGTTATAAACTACTTACCTTGGGCTTGTTCTCTAGCTATATCAGCCATCTTCTCCCAGATCCTTGCATTATTTTTCTCTGTATTCATCATGTGTTGTATCATTTGAACCATAAGATTGTCGGTCTGTTGAGATGGTTGGTAGCTTGGTAGTGAGAATGATTGACTTGGAGCAGGAGGCATGGGGACAAAGCATTGAGCAGATGAGGTAAAGTTGACTGTGGGTCCTTCAGTTGGAGCAAAAGTGGGTGCTTCCGTCATAGCAATGGTAGGCACTTCTGTCATATCAATGGTGTTTGCTTCAGTCACAGCAATGGCGGGACCTTCAGTTTGAGCGACAGTAAGTCCTACTGGATCGATGGATGGTCTTTCAGTTGGAGTGGCAATGGGTCCTTCAGCTGGAGAGAAGGTGAGGCCATTAGTCAGAGCGACGCTTGGCCCTTCAGTTTGAGTGATGGTGTGACCTTCAGTGGGATTGACGGTTGGTCCTTCAGTAGGAGCGACAGTTGGTCCTTCAGTAGGAGCGATGGTTGGTCTTTCAGTAGGAGCGACTGTTGGTCTTTCAGTAGGAGCGACAGTTGGTCCTTCAGTAGGAGCGACAGTTGGTCCATCAGCAGGAGCGACGCTTGGTCCTTCAGTAGGAGCGACTGTCGGTCTTTCAGTAGGAGCGACAGTTGGTCCTTCAGCAGGAGCGACGCTTGGTCCTTCAGTAGGAGCGACAGTTGGTCCTTCAGTAGGAGCGATGGTTGGTCTTTCAGTAGGAGCGACAGTTGGTCCTTCAGTAGGAGCGACGGTTGGTCCTTCAGTAGGAGCGATGGTTGGTCCCTCAGTAGGAGCGACGGATGATCCTTCAGTAGGAGCGACGGTTGGTCTTTCAGTAGGGGCGACAGTTGGTCCTTCAGCAGGAGCGACACTTGGTCCTTCAGTAGGAGCGGCGGTTGGTCCTTCAGTAGGAGCAATGGTTGGTCCTTCAGAAGGAGTGACAGTTGGTCCTTCTGTAGGAGCGACGGTTGGTCCTTCATTCAGAGCAACAGTGAGCCTTTCAGTTGGAGCGGCAGTGGGTCCTCTTGTTTGAGATGAAAATAGCTGCTCCATCTGTTTTCTCTTTGCCTCTCTCTGAATCGCCTTGGCACCTAGCAATTAGAAATTAAATGCTTAATGTCTAAAAGTGAGTGGAAATGTTAAAACATATTTTAGATACATAAGCTCCTTATTTACAACTGCATTTGCTTACTGAAAACAATCATGGATACACATGTAGAGAAGAGTATACATAACTTTATACATTGAACAATGAAGGCTAAAAATAGCTACGTAATATACAATCCCATGATAGGTAAATTCATAAATGTTCTTACTCTATGAGGAATATTTTGATCTCATTTTTCTAATTATTATATCAGAAAATTAGAAATTGTGTATATAGCAAATCTTAATGTCTTGTTAATCATTTACCTTTAGTTTTGTCTTGCTTGGATGCCTGTTGTTTCTTAGATTCAGGTACTTTCTTGGTTGTTTTTTCCTTTGGTGCTGCTTTCTTGGATGCTAGTTTCCTAGGTTTCTTTGCCTTGGGTGCTGCAATTCAATATATCTCTACATAAGTACATTTGTACATGTAATGTTGTTACATGTATTGTGAAAAAACATTAAAAAGTGCTATAATAACTATATTAAAAGATATATCTAAAGCTCTAAATTGCAGTTTTAATTAAAATATATTCTATCCATGTTAAAAAGTAACAGAGCTGTATTGGCCTGCAATCCCCTGCATCAGGTCCATTAGTTAAGCAATTAGAGATATGACAATAGTCGAGAAATCAATATACTGTACATACCTTCATATGCTATATCTGAATCAAAGACATCATCATGCTCACTCTCTGAGTCACTTGAGCATTCTGTCTCCACTGGTGCACAGCTCTTTTCCCTACCAGACTCTGAAATGACAAAAATATATTTTGAACACTTCAATTATGACTCAAGATTAGTATAACCTAAATATCTAAGTTTAACGCGAAGCAAGTACCTGAGTAAGTAGGCTAGTAGGTACAAGCAATAGACTCAAAATTTTCAATCTGGAGTCTAATAATAAGAAGAGAAGGAAGAAAAATTGGCAAAGCAATAGACTATCAATCTGGAGTCTACTAATAGAAAAAATAAGAAGAAAACTCGCAAAAGCTATCGACTCTAGATTTTCAATCATAAGAAAACAGGCAAAGTAAATGCAACTTTTAGAAGTAATATGGTTTCAAGAAAATGCAATATGGACTTACTTATTTACTCCTTTTTAACAGAATGTTTGATTTGATCTGTGCACTTTTTTGAATCTTTCAATGTCTAACATCTAAGTAACTATATGAAACAACTTACCCTTTTCATATATATCTGTTCTGAACTGTGTATCATAGTTATTGCAGAGGGACACATCATCTGTAAATATATTATGATAGGCAATTTAAGTCTGGAATTTTTTTTAATCAAGTCCAAATATCAATATGCACGAACATGTGCAAAAGGAAATGACTAAAAATGAAAAAGTTCATCGATATGCAATGTTAGGAAAGCTACAATATCTTTCATCTTATTTATTGGTCCTATGAAATGAATAAAAGAGGACCTGCGGTCCTGTCCTCACAGAGTTTGGAGCCTTCAGAGGAATGTATATCCTGACTTTCAAACAAAAATATTGATTTGGATTTGTAGTCTCGAACTTTGAGAAACTTAGATAGCACAGTTGTGTGACCTAGTTTGATGACCTTTGACCATGAAGGTTTTACTTATTCAGAGCTCAGTAAGGTCTTTTGTGATAAAGCTGACCAAAATTTACATCCAAAAATTAATTTGAAAAATCAACTTTTTAGACCTTTCGAAGGTCACTGAAGGTGAAATAAAGGTCAAATCCTAAAACTAATGTCAGATTTGAACTCCTGGGAACTTGTAGATGATTTTCAATAAAACTTTGGTCAAATTGAAGCAAGTTGAAAAATAACTTATTTTTACTGTTTTTTTTACGTCAAATATCTCAAAAACTGTGAAAATTTGATGCTGACATAGATTGAGCAATTTGTAGGGAAAGCTTAAATCTAGTTTTGATGTTATTCATTGCAAGAAATGATCAAGTATAAGGCAAACTTGCCAATCAGAAAACCTGCCATTGACTTTAAACATGAGAAAGTTTCCTGAAAATGATTAAGTCCTACTTTTTGTCAAATATTATAGAGTAAACACCAAAAAGTGTAATTCCAAGAGCTTTGAAATCTTCAGAGGACATATGTTGCATATACAGCAACTACTACATGTTATTTGAAAGTTCTCCTTCATCAAAGTGTCTATATTTACAGAAATTTACAGTATTTACTTTTTGACTTCAAAATCAGCAATTTCTCGGAAACCGGGCAAACTCGATTTTCAATGTTTTATAAAGTTACAATAGTGGACTTACTTGACATGAATACAATTCTTGCTGGAATGCCTTTGAATCTTTTGTGCGTCACCTCAGTGCCTACGTTGAACAAAGCTTCCCCTTTTGTTGAAGGAACAAGCTGTGAAGTTGCAGCTACAAGAGTTTCCTGTGTTTGGAAGAAGTGAATAACACTATTCTTCTTGTTTACTGAAAAAGAAATATCATAAAATCAATGTTTATTTTAATAAATTGGCTTAATTTTGATTCTTACTGAGAATGAAACATGTGAATGTAAATAAAAATATTATTAATCAATTCTCATGGGCAATTACATGAAAATCTTGAGAATAAATCCCATATGGGCATTTTTAGGGGGACTTAATTTTCTCGTTTCAAAAATGAATGTTCTTTTTGCCTTTTGAGACTCTAACAGTATCCTAGGCATGTTTTAAGAGTTGGAATGTGATTATTAAATGCACACAAGGCCACTTTAATGAGAATAGATTTTCTTATTTCAAATTTTTCTAAACATGTTTGCCATATTCTAAATAGTTATAGGGTCACTTGTAATAAATGCCCATTGGCATGCATTTGATTTTGCATTTAAAATTAAATGTCTGTATGGACACCTAATTTAAAAGTTATTTGCCAACTTGCAGTTCCCATATTTGAAGCACAACTAATTCAGAGAAATCCCCTTTCAATATATATCATAAAATATAAAGGCAGCATCATGTATAAATGGCATGACACTCAAAGGATTGCCTCAAATAATGTCTACTTATTCCCTCTTTAGAAAAACACTTCATATGTTTTATATAATTAATATCACTAAATTCTATGTTTCAGAAAAAACAAAATGTTCCCATTTACTCTGTACGTGTAATGCATGTAAATGACAAATGGAATTGTGATCTTGGATTATATTGTAGTGAAATGAGTCCCAAGATTGATTAAAAACTACATGTACAGTATGTAAGCTTCAGCATTCTTAATAGCTGGATTTTGTCAATGTTCTTCTCTGAATGCTTGTATGTTCCATATAATAAATTCTATATAATGATAAGTTTTTATATTATTTTGATGGTAAACATAGTGTGTAGCCATATTCAGACAGCCTTGTGAGAGGGGTTCTTACTGCCAATATTTCAAAGAAACTGAAAACCTATGCCACTTTTTGAAATTGCACATCTCAAGAAAAAAGGTTTATCCACACCTTGCAATTGATTTCAAAAGTAAATGGAAGGATGAGTTTTTTTTGATTGTGGATCAGTAGAGTTAAATGGACCTGTTTCTTTTAGTTGGTATACAACAGTAACATTTAATTGTTCATACTGATTCAATTAATTTGATTGCAATAATTGTCGGCCATTTTGGTCGGATGGCTAATTAAAGTCGGCCATTTTGGTCGGATAGCTAATTAAGGTCGGCCATTTTGGTTGGATGGCTAATTACTTTGTTATTGTTTACAAAATGTTTTTTTAAATAAATAAAGAATTCTATTTTATAGCTAAGAAATCTAATTTATTTTACACTTTCAAAAACAAAAATTTTGATTAAGTTTTTTGATTAAATCTTGGGTTAAGTAGCAACAAAAAATAGGGATGTCTGACTTGTCAAAATTGTCATGATAAAACATTTCAGTGGCACGTTAGAAATGACATATTATTACTGAAATAGAGTATAATTTGGTCAATCTTTGCAATGGTGTTAAAAAACTAATGTGCTTTGCACTAATTAGAATATTTGATAATTTAAAAATTCAAAAAATGATGGGAGATTCAAATATTGTGGCGTGAAATTCAAATATAAGAAAAATTAAGACGACAACCTTCTTTGGAAAATTCTTTTTTTTGAATAAATCTAAAATAATTTTTTAAGTCATAAGTAATAGCAAAAAACTGAATCAAAGTTAAAGACCAAAAATAGCCAATTATAATTTTTAGATAAATAACAACACTCTTCTGGTCTGACTTATTCAATATTCTATTTTGTTTCTTGTCAGAAGATTTATGAAAAGGAGGGGGAGTTATTTGTAGAATGATTCAGGGGGGCTTTATCATGCATTTTTCTTATGACTTTCATCCAAAAATTCTGGCAAACTGGCAAAATTTAAGCAAATGCAAAATTTAATAATGCAAAATTTAATTAATGGCAGAGATTAAGAAAAATTTCCAACAAATTCACCATTAGGTGGCTCCAAAAAGATTTTTGCCAAAAATATTTGAACCCCCTACTGTCAAATCCTGGATATGCCACCAATTTACTATACCTAATTATTGTCTCTAAATTTGTGTTTAGTAGAACAATGTTTCAATCAAAGGATACAAAGGGCTTCATTTTGGAAATACGTACATACAATCGAATCATATTCGTTCGTTGGGATAATTAAGCAATATAACATAAGCAATTCATATTATTGAAAAATGATGGGAGATTCAAATATTGTGGCGGGAAATTCAAATATTTGAAAAATTAAATTAAATTAAATTTGGCATAATTATGCAAAGGAGAACCCCTGATAAGGAGAGCTTTTTAGAAGGACACAACTATTTTATTCTGAAAGTGATCATCATGAAATTTTAACATACTTTTAGAAATGTGGTGAATTTATACATCTTGAAATATTTTCTTCATTTTTTTGTGAAGCGATGAAATTCAATTTTCCATATTTAACCCCCGGGATTTAACCTTTATATTTTGCTTAAAATCAATAACTTTCTCATTACTTAACGAGCAAAATAGAATGTGGCTAAGTTACATAATGAAGCAAAGTCTTAGTTTTCATTGGTTCTATCATTTCCGTTATTCTCATGAGTGGAAAGGTCTCAAAAACATATTTCTAGGGAAACGCCCATTGTTTCTTTTTATTTTCTAAGAGTTCAGATAAATAGGTATCTTACAACTGTGACACTTTGTTCCTATCCCATTAGGCCATACACAGATTTTAACTACAAATAAAGAGCCTAACCTTAAAAAAACAAGTTCATTGCCTTGCCAAAAATGATCTTAAAAAAGCAATTTTTATATCACACAAGTTGTTTTTGGGAATATCTATGATCACCTCATCTCTGATGTGTTAAAATTTCATGATGATCACATCCAGAATAAAAAGCAATGTCCTTCTAAAAAGCTCTCCTTATCGGGGGTTCTCCTTTGGCATGATTAAGAAAATTTGGCAAAATTTAAGCAAATTTGGCAGAGATTAAATAAATTTGGATTCACCATCAGGTGGCTCTAATATTTTTTGTCTAAAATATTCTAACCCCCTCCTGTCAAATCCTGGCTACGCCACTAAGCGACATAAATCAATGTTTAAGATTATTCTTATTATTTGGAAGAATTTAAAAAATTTTCACTCATTTTTGCACTTTGAATCATTAATAACTTCACCAATTTATAAAATATTGTGAATCTTTTGGGAGATATTGTATTTGATATTGTAAGGAATAGATTGGTAGGTCAATTATACATGTTGCTTGTAATTTTGTCACCCCCTATAGATCAGATTCTTCCTTTAAAGGCAGAATCAGATCTATTGGGGGTGACAAAATTACAAGCAATGTGCATAATTGACCTACCAATCTATTCCTTACAATATCAAATACAATATCTCCCAAAAGATTAACAATATGTTGTAAATTGGTGAAGTTATTAATGATTCAAAGTGCAAAAATGGGTGAAAAATGTTTAAATTCTCCCAAATAATAAGAATGGTAACCATTCTTATAGAAAAATAATACATTATTGTAAAAATCTTTAGTTTTCCTTGAATAAAGTATGCACTTTTGTGAGTTTTAGAAAATAGACATGACAAGGAATGAAATGAGCCAAAAATATTCTTTGAAACAATTTTTCGTTTAGCCTGCTCACTATCTCTGATTCTCTCTTTAAGTAAATAATCATACATACCTTTTTGAATAGCATATTGTCTCTCTGTACATCGGATTGCTGGCTCTGATGCCCTCTTCATTCTGTTTATGTAAAATATGTATAATATCCTCCCTAATGTTGAATAGGTTAACAGTATGGTATAATCCTTCCTTGTTATCAGTTATATGATGTAAATGGTTGAACAGTATCTTAACTCTTCTTATGTAAAATATGTATAATATCCTCCCTAATGTTGAATAGGTTAACAGTATGGTATAATCCTTCCTTGTTATCAGTTATATGATGTAAATGGTTGAACAGTATCTTAACTCTTCTTTTTACACACTTTATGTTTGCAGTCACTTGATCGTACATGTACATAGAATGACTGAGGATCAACTAGACCTGATTTAAATAGCATTCTGGGTATCATCAGATTAATATTCAAATTAATCAAATTAGTCTTCTTCAACAGGTGCTTAATCCAAAGAATAAATAAAATGCATGAGAAACTTTTGAAAAGTCTAATGTCCAGGAAAGTTCAACTAAAATTAGCAAGATAAGTGATTTACTAATCTTTAGAGATAGTTTGATGTTCATACTGTGAAAATCAAAATTAGCAAGATAAGTGGTTTTACCAATCAAACAAAAACTATAAAAAACATAAATCTTTTCAATCAGATGCATAAAAAAGCTTGATTGGAGACTTGTTCTATAAAACATTACACAAATAACAAAACTTAAAAGGCCTACAAAGATGCATTGTTATTTTAAGAAAAATATAATCAGACGTGCCAATCAAAATAACAAAACTTAAAAGGCCAACAAAGACTCACTGTTATTTTAAGAAAAATATAATCAGACGTGCCAATCAAATTATTGTCTGTGCTTGTTTAACGAATTACTTTTTCATTTTAGTCACTTTATCTGTGAATTATTCATATTCTACAAAATATGATACCATTTAACTTAACAATTCTATATTTTTCTATTGATTAACCATGTATATTTGTCACTAATCAATATATCGTGTTTTGATACAATAGACTAGATGCAAGTAGAGATGATCTTGATTTTTGTCATTAAATATGCAAAATTCACCCAAAGTAACATCATATTTGTAATGTTCATATAAAATTACATCTAGAAATGTGACTTTAGAGTTTGTTTACCAACTTTGAAATTTTAACTTTCTGAATCTAATTTTTAGGCTTTGATTGAATAATAATCAAACTCAAAAAGGTCAAATGAAATTCCATTGATAAATCTACTGAATATAGAACTTAAGCCCATGGTCATGAAACTGGGCACTAACTGCTGGCATCTAGGTTGATGTATATAATATAATATAAATATAATACACTGTGTCTCATAAGCCAATGTCAGCTGCTGGATTTTTAATGCATGCATATTTTACTTGTTATATCATTTTCCTACATAATTAAATCCTTGTTTTTATTTTTATACAGGCCTGTGGCTACAGTGTACAGGTAGTGGACCCAATGATCCTCCACAACCTCAAGTTGCCCAAATTAGTTTTATTTATTTATCTTGATATCTATTTATAGGATGTTATTGTTATTATTATCCTACACTTGTACTAAATGTACAATTATTGAATATTGAAAAAAATTAATTAAAAATAAAAGATCTTTGAAAAATAAAAATAACTGAAAAATTTGGAGGGAAATCAACAAGCAGAGTATATCGGCTGCATATCCTCCGCATATTGGTTTTCTGGAGTTATTAAACATTTAGTGCACTATTAAAGTGTGAAACAATATGGTATATCAGGCCCGTAGCCAGGATTTGCCAAGGGGGGTTCAGTTTTCAAAAGTTTCCAGGGGGGGGTTCACATTTGACAATTTTGGGCCAAATATGGCTAAAATCACTTGAGAAGTGTTCAAAATGGTGAAAAACTGCATGATTTTGAAAGAATTTTTGGCCTGAACCCTGCGAACCCCCCCCCCCCCCCACCTGGCTACAGGCCTGTATATTAATTAAAAATCAAGATATTTAAAAAATAATACTGACTTGGGCAAGGCTAGCCTAACAAATGCTGTTATATTTTTTGATAAAATTCATTATGAAAGCTGTTGACTGGTACTCTGAAATCTTCATACGTGGTAAGTACATGAAATACTGATTGAAGTACAAATTGAAGGTGAAAGCAGAGATAGAGAATGAAAGAATGAAGAGCATGAACCATTAAAACTGTTAAACTGAAGAAAATTGTTAAAGGGAAGGACAACCAGGGTTTACTTCCTATGGGTCACACCCTTGAGTTTGGACCCCTGGGGGTGGGACCATGGGTCATTCTAATTACATCTGTATGGATATTTATCATCAATACTTCATGCTTTATCTTAAAATATGGTCTCTCTATCTTAGATTTCATCTTTTTAAGGAAATGCTCAAAAGAATATCTGTGTTTTTTTAGATTTTCAATAATAAAATGACAGCCAGCACTTGAGATGGCCCCTCGCGTTCAGAGTCAATTGGGTTATATTGGATTAACAAATTATCACCTAATTATATTTGTCAGTGAAAGTACAGAGCTTGTATGAATGGATTAAAAATACCTGTATATTAGATTAAGACTTTATCTAGTAGAAAAATACTACCTTGCCTCATTTGCATCATTTATAAATTATGCAAATGATCTATAGGATTAAGGATCATATTTGATTATCTATCTGAGAAAGACTGCATTTAGATATTGTGATCGGATTAATACGCATACAAAATACTGCTCTGGAATTTACAGTTTATCAAAGATTAAGAGTACATTAATTTGAAATTTACAAAACCATTGTTACATTGTACATGTTGTAGCATGGTCTCTCCTTTTACAGAAATATGAAACGAGGTCCATACAAAAGATGGTTAGCCTCTGAGGGACCAGTCCCCAAATCTACAAAATATGCAAAACAAAGGAATGAAGATATAGTATTATGTCCCACTTCAGACCTCTACATGAACGAGTATGACAAGGATTATGATGTGAATGATGATGGTGATGATGATGATGATGATGGTTGGAATGTGCTCAAGTCAGCAGAGTTCAAGGATGGTCTGCTTTATGAAAACTCGAAGATATCAACATCTGATAGTGTAATGCTTCTAATGGACTTCATGATATCCAACAATTTACCCGGCACTGTGATGACACATCTGCTAAAGATAGTACAACTTCATATACCTAAAGCAGCGAATCCTAAGCATTTGTCTTCATTGTACTACCTTAAGAAGCAGTTTGGTATGATGAATCGTAACAAGGGGGAGTTCAAAATCCATGACACCTGTACTAAATGCCTGAGCCTATTTAATGGAGATGAGAAGGTCTGTTCTAATGATGACTGCAACCAAAACAAACGATATGAGGGAGTGGCTAGCAAAGCAAGACCAAGAGACTTTTTCCTGGAATTTGACATCGGTCAGCAGATTCAAGAATTCTTTAAAGGTGAGTGGCTATTCACTAACACATATCCATTCAAAATAAAGTAATAATAAACTGATGAATGATTGGCATTTTGACTCAAGTATTTGATTCTGAAAGTTAGGGTGATTCAAAATTTGATGAAGTTTGAGATCATTATGTCATTAAATGGTGTAAATATGATAAAGAGATCCAGTTTTCTCATTTTCTACATTTTACAAACAAATCTTCTCACCAGTTTTTCTAGGCAAATAAGCGCACTCTTTGTGTAAAACCGGAAGATGTAGACATATGGGTTACCTATTTTGATATTTGGTATGGAAATGAACCCAAATTTAAGGATTTGGCATGAGCTTGGCATGGTATTTGGTGTGACTTTGGGCATTATTTTGGTTGGTATGGAAACTCATTGAAATTTGACAGATTGGGAGTATTGGGACTCACATTTTACTTATTTTTGCCTCCTATTTATTTGAAGAGCACTTGTGCAAGTAATACCAGACAATTGAATTACACAACCCATGCTTTAATTAATTAATAATTTAATTGGGGGGGGGGGTCTATGTCTAAGCTATCTATTTTGGATTTATTTCTGAGTTATCTAGAAAATGGTTAAAACATAAAACTTTAATTAATAGGCCTTTGTTGAAAGAAGTTCTTTATTGCAGAAATTGGTAAAAATTATGATATTTCCCTTGTCTTATGATTTTTAATTAATAAAATGGACCAAAATTAAGCAAATTCAACAGGATTGCCAAAAATATCTGAACCCCCCTCCTCTTGAATATTCATCAGTTTTTTTGGAGTTCACTTTTCTTATAACCCTTATGCATCTGATAGATATACAAATTAAAATATGTCCAGTAAAAGAAAATATTATCTGCCTAACACAAGAAAAGATATTTCACTTTTTGTGATTTTACAACATTGGGTCTATGGGGAATATCCCCAACCTATAAATCACATTTTCAAAGAAAATTAAATTTTCAAAGAAAATTAAATTTTCAAAGTTCATAAACTATTTCCAAACCCACATTTCTAGATTGTAGATGTAAGTTTACATGAACATTTCTTAATTAATTTTTTGGGGAAATATATTTTTCTAAGTAATTAGCCATCCAACCAAAATGGCCGACTTTAATTAGCCATCCGACCAAAATGGCCGACTTTAATTAGCCATCCGACCAAAATGGCCGACAATTAAAACAACCAAATAAATTGAAGCAATGGAAACCATAAGATCATTGTATTAACTATTGTATACCAACTCTAAGAAAAATCATAGAACTTACTTTTGAATATCAGCTATGTACTTAGAGGGAAACCAAAATTGAAATTTTTATAGTTACTTTCATAAAATATATTGGTGACCCTTTTGGGATTATCAATGTTCAGTACGGAGTCTACACCTGTCTACATGTTCTTAGTATGTCTTGTCCATCCCACAAAAACAGATATTATACTTAAACTGCAAATCAGTCATTAGCTTTTTAACACCATTGCAAAAATTGACCAAATTACACTGTATTTCAGAAATAATATGTCATCAAATTCAAAATCCATAAATTTAAGAATCCATTTAGCATATTGTTTTGATTAATTCAAAGCTAAATGAGCCAGGCCACAGGAAAAGGGGTTGATCAAAGATTTTTCAATATTTGGATTTTTTAATGAGCCATGATTTATGTCTTTACGATTTTCCTTATATATATAGACCAAAAAGTCAGATTTTAATTTAGCACATTTTCCTCTTAATCTTGGCCACGTTTATGGCTCTGTTGCACAATTTTAATTTTTGTGGTAAGACCGGTTTTCCTATGGCCAGGCTCAA